TACTCTGGTTGTTTGGTTGTCACTTTCTCCCATTCGTGCTGTTTGTGCTGCATGTGGGACATTGTTTAGACATCCAAGGTCAGGAGATATGAATGTACACAGAGGGAAGGTCACATAGCTGAGCCAAGTGTGCCTTTTGGCATAGCTCTTATTGGGAGGAGTAACCACGGCAACAGTTGAGGCATTGCTGCCTGTAAAAAGGCAGTTGCATCACTGGTGGTGAGCCTAAAGAAGGCCAATGGTGGGAAAATATACTCCTTTACATAAAGGAAAGGACCAATTCAACCCTGTTAAAATACTCGTACAAGTTAGAAATCCTGCATTCAAAATCATATCCGACTCAAATGTAAAAGTTCAGAAGTATTATCCCATAATGTACTTAATGTACTTTCAAAGTATAAAAAGTGCAGGAATATTTCTGCTGTGATTTGCATATTAACACCAATTGTTATGATTTTTGAAGTGTATTTGCAATCGCCAGAAGTAAAAAGCTATGGTTAGGCTATAAACTAACAACATCACCGCATAATCACCGCTAAGCTAAAGGCGGCTAATGTTCGACATGATGATGTTTTAGTAGTCTCATTTAGTCACTTGTTAGCAACTGCGTTTCCATGACACATAGACATCAGACAAGTGGGGTATTTTCTGACACATTTTGTCGTAGAAAACAAACTTGAAAATCTCTTACGCTGAACTGACCTTACTTCATGCATTCTCTACCAGAAACACCGTCAAAAATGAGCTGATGAAAGGGAAGTGGTAAAGGGATAACTCATTTCTGTAAGACTCTTTTCTCCGCTTTAGCGCCTGGCTCTTAAGCCCCTCCTGAAACAACCCAGTCTGCTCTGATTGGCTTGCGAGAAAATATGGTGCACATTTGCTGTAGTTCACAAGCCATTAGGGAAATTAGTCAGATGAGGAGCAGAGAACTCTAATGAGCTCTGGTTTTGTAACCTGCAACAAAGGTAAACAAATGTTGTACGCCTAGGTTTTAGCAATACGTTTTGTTTTATAAACTCTTATTCTGTTTAATAAACAAAACAAAGCACATTGAATGGATACACAACTCTCTGAAATGTAAATCTATCTTGTGACAATCTTTGAAAACATTATCAAAAAACGTGCATTTAATCAATGATGAATCATTGCCATAATGTTAATCAGGATTATTCCGAAACGCATAGTAAACCAGAACATAAGTGTCTTGTTTTTCAGCAGCACTGCTAGGAGCTTACACAAAGTGACGTTCATGACCAAAGTGATCATTTGAGAGGGAATATTGATCAGAAGCCAGCAAATCAGATCATCATGCACTGAAAGAGCAGTTTGGATGTCGACACTGATTACGCCATAAGCTCTCTGCACAGCCTCTGTTTATGTGTATTAGTGTGTGTGTGTGTGTGTGTGTGTGTGTGTGTAACAAGGCAGTGTGAAAAAAAAAGAAAGTATAATTCAAAGTGAAAACTGTTGATGTAACCAGAGGCTTGTGTTTCATCTGATATGTAATCCTCTTTTGATGAGATTTGATGCAATTCACATCTGGAATATTAGGTTTACTTCCTGATGTACAGTACACAGTATTGGAGGTGGAGTGTATCTAAAGTACTGTACTTAAGTATAGGGCTGCTCGATTATGGCAAAAATCATAATCACGATTATTTTGGTCAATAATTGATATCACGATTATTAAATACGATTATTCATTGACTTTGAAAACATCCATTTATTGAACTTTAAAACAAATGCAAATAATAATTTGAACAGTATATTTTTGTTGATTACCCTGAACGTATAATTCAACTGAAAAACCAATACAAAAATAAATATATTTACATTTAATAAATAATATCAAAATAATAAATACCAATAAACAAGTTCAACAAATATTTTGGAGCGCACTTCCACAAGCTACTAAACATATATAAATATGATAAATAAAAAATAAATTAGACAAAAATAAATGAGATCAAATATGTTGCAGTGCACTGTCACAACCTGTCCTTTTTTTCGATGATGTTGTTTTCGTAATTGTGGCAGGCCAAAATCGTAATTGCGATTAACATACGATTAATTGCACAGCCCTACTTAAGTACCTCAAATGTGTATTTTTGTATTTAACACATTTTGTAATTTGACCCAGAGCTGTTTTTTATTGTATGTAACTTTTTTTCAATAACATATTAAAGTCTCCCAGTCCGTGACTTTTCCTGAAAGGGTGTTATGTAGCACCCTATGTTGTTAAAAATGGTCAATATGAAGTCAGATTGAAGAAATCGGCAAAAGAATTGCCATTTATACCTATTTCCGCCAAGCGGGTCATATTGACCCCACCCCTTTTCGCGCTATTGATTTTGCGTGTAAACAAACATGACGTGTTGCTATTCAACGCCTTTTGTCTACTGCAGTTCCTTATAGATTGAGAGATAGATTGAGAGAGAGAGAGAGAGAGAGAGAGAGATAGATTGATAGCGACAGTCTGTAGTGAAGGAGCGCGCTCCCGCTCACGGGAGACTGCTTGCGCTGCACTCCGCAGCAAACAGCTGTTTGCTTTTCACCCAACAACGACAACCGCCTCACGAAACCCTATGTTGTACCGTTAATAAACGAAACAATTTTACAAAATTGCTTGTCAAAATACCAATACCAGGACCATTTTTCTTTTTAAAGCAATACTTTTACTTTGAAAATCAATGCATTCTAATTCTGGGTCAATTTGACCCCGGTGGCGGTTTTAGGTATAACAAATCTCTGGCGGTTCTAGTGATAAATCTCCACTACAATTATTTGATAGCTTTAGTTACTTACCTACGGAGCCCTGGAGGGTTCATAGAGAGAAAAATAAATAAAACGTGGCCACGTTTTACTTTCTCGTGCGCACGCTTTAGTAACTCGTGCGCACAAGTTACTAAAGCGTGCGCACGAGTTAATAAAGCGTGCGCACAAGTTACTAAAGCGTACGCACAAGTTAATAAAGCGTGGCCTCGTTTTGTGTGTGTGTGTGTGGGTCATTTATTTATGATAGTATCGTTCGTTGCGGTGCACTCCGGCAGGACTATAGCACATCGAGATTAAGATTAAACTAATTTCTTTCACTTGGGAATACATTTAACTATGAGGAACCAGATTTGTGTAAAGTACTGTTCATGGTAATTTGAAAACAAATGCCGGTGGTGTCGGATACACACGAACACGCACACAGAGCGGAGCTGAGCACACACACACACACACATCATGCGCCCCGGTGACAGGACATCTCCTTCATAAAACGAGGGAGAATACTCTGGTAGTTCGATGTGTGTATAGGTGTGTGTGGTTAAACGTAGCAGCCTCGATCTCTATTTAGCGGTTCTAATGAAGGGAAACGCAGTGAAGTAAACAGTAAAAGGCACAGCTCTTTGCAGCTGGTGCTGCTCTTCTCAGATTCTGCTGAGTTACACGTTACTGCCTCCAGTGCCCTGTACGACAAAGCCAGTTCAACAGACCCTGGACCTGGATATGTTCGATTTACCCGGCTTAACTGACCCTAACAAACGCGATGTATATAAGCGGTCCTACGAAGCTGGTTATCAACTCAGTAAATCAACCAGGGTTTCTCTGTCCGGCTGAGAGGGCGTTCACGTGAAAGGGACGGGGTTAGCAACATTTGACCAATCACAAACATGGAGACGCGTGCTGACAGCGCAGCGTCATACTTCATGAATGAATAGTGTATAGCAAATCCTGCTTCGTAGTACAGGCCACTGGTGCCGCTGAGATTTCATAAAGTGAAGGAGGTTTTCCTTCTATAAAACAGCTGTGGGCAGCAGATACTGTGAGTCACGGACAGGAATCCCTCAATTTAAATAAAACGAGGCCACGCTTTATTAACTCGTGCGCACGCTTTAGTAACTCGTGCGCACGCTTTAGTAACTCGTGCGCACAAGTTACTAAAGCGTGCGCACGAGAAAGTAAAACATGGCCACGTTTTATTTATTTTTCTCTCTATGAACCCTCCAGGGCTCCGTACTTACCACATTACATAATATATATTAAGAGTTTATAAAAATGTTTTATTATAGATTAATCAAATAGACGATTGATAGTATGATTAATTTAAATAATCATTTTATATTAAAAACGTTTTTTTATTGAGCCTTTGATCAAGATTCTCAAATCTGAAGATGTGATCCTTTTTTAAATTATTTTAGTAATTTCTATGTATTGTTCATACTAAAGCTGTCACTTTGGGCCCTGGGTAATTGCAAAACACATTTGTATTATTTTCTTAATAATCCAATAATATGATCTAGTCTAGTATATATGGAGATAATAATCATCAGATTAATCCATAATAATTTGAGTCATAAAACAAACTTTTGGCGAAACTCAAAACTTCATACGCTTGTTATGAACATTTGATAAATAATCCTAAAAGAATAAAATAATGCGATTGTTTTACTTTGAGTTCTTTATATTTAGGTACATTTTCATGATAATACTTCTGTAATTGAACTGAAGTAACATTCTCAGTGCATGGCTATTATTTGTATCTGAGCCTTTTTACAGTTAGTCCTTATCGTTGGGCCAATGATCTGAATTCTTCCCCAGCCCTGAGTGTTAGCATCTTAATGACGGTGATGATAATGCTGAAACATTACATGAAACACATGCTGCACTTGTCCAGAGGAGGTTGTTTAGGAAGTGCAGCTCATTACAGCGAGGACGGCGTGCACATGGTTAGAAGGGACTATTTGTGTCTGTCAGGCTGTAACATGAAGCGCCGACCCCACGTCAGATGTATAAATAACCGATTTTTCACCGACTCAGTGTCTGTTTACATTTATTGGTGTTGCACGCCGGAAGACAAAGTGTCCATGAAGTGCGTCCTCATCATTTTTAATCCTTAAACCAGGTGGGCATCCGGGTCAGCTGCTCTTTGAAGTGTATGACTTGACATATGTTATGTGCCACATCCCGGACTAACTGTGTCCTCCTCTGCGTTTGTTGCTCTTCTGCAGCCTGACCTGCGACTGGCAATGGACTACACGAACAACTCCTCCAACAGCAACACCTCCGGAGACACCATGAGCTCCTCCTTAGCCAACATTACCATCAGCGACCAGCACCACCAGGAGAACGGCATCATGAAAGGTCAGACATAAGTCAAATGTATTTATATGTCTCAATATCGCAAGGGTTTACAGTCTGTGCCGCAACAACCCTGTGTTCTTACAGGCTTGCTTTTAAGTGTGGCTCTTCCACAGGTTTTTTATTTACAATTGCACATGGTACGTTTTTACCTCGGATATCACAAAAAATAAAAAAATAACAAGGAGCAGGCTTTTAATTGGGATGAAATAATATAAATGTTATTATATACACACTCATATGTTTTATCAAGTCAGCTAAAATGTCTAATATATACTTAGTCCACTTGACAACCTTCCATAATATATATTTATAATATATATTTGAATCATGAAGATGATTAAGAGGGATACTCAGATCGGCAATAAATGTCACTTGTACATAGTAGAATACACCTGCACAGTCAACAATGAAATACTTCCTAATTTAAGGTTTGCACCCATTTGATTAGCCAGTGCTGCAGCTCGCCAAATGACGTCACATTGTGTTATTCTGCAGGAGCCTCATCAAATCATTACCCCCATTCAAATGAATTAGCAGCTGAGCTATTTCACACACTGTTGTTGTCTGTCTGACCATAATGACTAATCCGGATGACAGCATTCATATTATCTTCTCATCATTAAGTCATGGGTCAGCTCCGATGTTCTGGCATCTAACACACCAGCTTCACTCCGTCAGTGAGCTGTTCAGTTCAGTTGCAGTTGAAACACATTTACTAATATTGAACATGTGCGCTTTAGCATATATTAGCTTAAAAGAACAAGCTCTACAAAGATTATAATAACTGCTTCAATATAGTTTATTTATGTGTATTGACACCAATGAATAATGCACTGTTCTTAACAAATAATAATAACTAGCTGTCTAAGTAAATATGTCATTGTATGAATTAAAGAGATGTTCTGGATTGTTTTTAAGCACATATATAAAATAGCATGTTAAATAATCTACTCTGCCTACATAAAATTAAGCCATGTAGTTTTTATTAACACCATAAACATATTACGAAAAATCACTTCAAACTGTCTTCATATGTGCTTATAGCTACATTACAGTGTGTTATAAACCAATAATGACATGTTTAGTATCTGCCGATAGTTCCATGTTTCTAATCTTGAGAACAAGCTGACTTGTGGGTAATCTTTGTGGCCCACAAATTGGAGTTTAACTCAACCTTTTGGCGCTTTAATCCCAGAGCATATTCTTAAAAGTTCCCAAAGAGAGGGATTTAAAAAGATTGAAATCTCCGAGCTGTTTCTTAAAGTCTCTGTGATCGGTACCGATCATGGGGCCGAAGCCGAGCCCCGCAGTTTCAACTGTGCTTTGTTTAATCCCACTTTTACATAATGGATACAAGACATGCTAGAGTGCCGACTGCAGCTTCACTGTGCTCTGTAATCCAGGCATCTGGGTCAGAAGGAGCTCCTGTGGCACTGTACGCTACCAATTCAGTCCATAAACAATCAGGCCTTTAATGCTGCACAGAAAAAGGCACATGTTATGAAAGGGTAAATAATGTCAAATGTTTCAGTTGCACAGTTATAGAATAAGTAATAACTGTCCTGGCACATTGTTCAGTAGCTAATAATCAGTTTCCGTTTCCTCTTTCTCATCCCTTATATCCACCGTATGGCCAATTAGTGCGTAGCCTAGCTTTCCCCAGTTTACAGCCCTCATGAGTGCAGACGTTCTCCCTGTTTCCACTTTCCATCTTCTCACATGCAAACAGGAAGCAGCAGCAGCACACACAGTCTGTCAATGGTGAAACACAGAGTGAGTGTCATCAATCTGTTAGAGCGGAAACGTAGTTAGAAAGTGTGGTGCTTGTAGGATAAAGGTAGTTGAGTGGTTATAGTTGGTACATGATGTGTAGAGCGGTACATTGTAATAATGATGGTTTCAAAATGTTTTTCCTTTAATAAGTAATCAACTTAAAATGGGATGTTGTTAGTTTGAAAAGTTGATTTTCTCCAAAGTTAAAGTGGCTATGATTGATATCTTAAGAATAGATATATAAAAAAGTAGAAGGTGCCATTTGTATTTGAAATAATTATCGATGTTCAGCCAACGATCAGCTTAATCTGCAACTCCCCCTCATGGAGCATTCTCATGACTTTCAATGTATTATTTTTCTGTCCAGCCCACAATTGTATTAGTTGGTTTACTCTCCATGCTTTCAGAGCATACATTTTAACATATAGCTTTTTTTCCTATAATTGTGGCCATTCAAATATAGAAATAATCTAGATGTGTTACACAAAAAATACAATTACTACAAATGTTATTTTCTAACTCTTATGCAGTCTTGAAGTCCAATAGTATGATACATTCATGACAAATTGATCGTCCAAGCTCATTATAAATTGATTTAAGTTACTTTAAAGACCGTGTGGATACACTAGTTTAAATAAATGTCAGGATTTCTGCCTTTGAATATTGTCTAATGGGTTAAAAATTTGAATTTTTTTATTTCTATGTGCTTCTGTGAATATGGCTGAGGGAAATTAAGAAAGAAAGTGGGTTTTTTCAGAGTTTCTTGTGCATGTTTATAATGTACTAACAGATTGAATCTTCCCCAACATACCATTTTATTATTTAGGATGTAAGACCTGTTTCATTGTGTTTTTATGGTTTGTTCTTGTCTTATTTCCTCATTTACGGGGAGTCAGGATTTAACAGCTAAATTACAGTGACTGTTGCAAAGGTTTTAACCATTTTAATTCAATTTAACAGCTCAAAACAAGTGTCTCAAGTTAATGTCTTTCATGCTGAACCTCCAGCCTGACCTTCAGTTAACCTTTATTCCTCAGAGCCTGAAGCAGCTGTCAGTGAAAACGGGGCTACACCTCTGTCTGTGCTCTGTGACGACAAGGTGCACCCTGGTACGACCGCCTGCGCGCCTCATGTCTGACGCTCGGACTTTATTGACTCAACTTAACCTTCATTAAGCACGTTTCAGTTTGTATGCAGTTTTTCCACTTCATTTCTCTTTTTTTATCAATAACTTTTCCTTTTGTCAGAGATATAATTCGAGAAATGTTAATCTCAGTTTCTTGGTTTTCTCCCACCTTTACACTTTTCATTTTTTCAGCTCCTCTTGGTTTGAATCTACATATTTCTGCTTGTTTTCTCATTTATTGTGCCTTATATGTATTGCCCATGTATTCAAATAGTTTTCTGTTAATAGGCTAATTGATTTATCAATGAAGCTTCTCAGCTGTACATGTTCGCACTTTTGGTCATTTAATTTCTAACAAAACATAATGTATACATTTCTTGTGTTTTCTGTGAAAAATAAGTAACTTGTAAAGCTGAAGTAAGTGAAGTACAAATACCCCCAATTTCCCTCTGAATTGTAGTGGAATAAAAGTAGAAAGTGGTACCTCAAGTGTGTACTTAAGGACAGTACTTAAGTAAATGCACTTCACGTTACATTCATACTGCTGCATGTACAGTAGCTGTGTTCTCAGTACAAACACAGTGCGACAAACTACACAGGGAACAACATCTCTTCCCTAGCCACACACTAACATGGTGACTAACATGGGAAGTCATGTCTCTATGCCTGTGAGAATTAGCCACAGTAGCTCCACTTCAGCCTGGGTGAAGCATGCTTTGATCATAAATAGTGAGAGTGACAGCGAGTCCTAAGATGTAGTGGAAAGCAGGGTCATCGGGTGGAAATACTCCTTGATCTGTTGAACAGCTCCTGGCTGTGAACGTGATAAATACCACAGCATGAGGTCAGGAGGTGTCGTTTCAGAGCTAATTTAGCTTTAATAAACCAGAGGAAAGTAAGTCAAATTAGAGAGATGTTTAGGGATGAGCTATTCCTATTTTTCTGACTGACTGACATCCATTTATCCTGCAGTGGAGACGTCAGAGAAGGCCGGTGTTGAAGCGGCAGGGCCTGAGCTCTCAGAAACAGAGAGCACTTCATGTGGAGGCGAGGGGCAGCTTGGTACGCCTCCGGTCTTTCAGCTCCTGCCTCTTTCAGCCGCTTGCGCTTTTAGTTGTTTTCCTAGTTTGACATTTTGGGAAATATATTCTCATTCTTGCATGAGAAGATTGATACCACTATCGAGTCTGTATGATTCAACAAAGGAAGCTACAGCCAGCAGCCGGTTAGCTTAACGTCGCTTAGCCTAGCTTAGCTTGAAGACAGGAAACGGGGGAACTGCTTGCACAAATCTGTCCAAAAGTAACAAAATCCTTCTTCTAGCACCACTTTTATTTGATTTATTCATTTATTTAACAGGGACAATGCACATTAATTAACATTTCTGTAAATGTGCCAGAGTTAGCCAAGAGGCTATTTTTCATCTGTAGTCCCTGGACAGATTTTAAAAGTCAACCTAAAACACATTTCATTTTAAACAAGTAAATACAATCAATTTAAAACATGCAACACACATTACTGGAATACTTAAATAAAACAATTTAAAAGACAGAACAATAAAACAAAAGAGCATGTTAAAACACAGACAGTGGGTTTTAAGGAGCAGATGATTGCTCCGACACTAAAGCTCACTGGCTAACATTGTTTGGCAACTTAAAGGTGGGGTAGGTAAGTTTCAGAAAAGTACACAGCCGAAAAGAATCCGCCCCTTCCTTCAGACTTCCTTACAGAGCACCTCCTCCAACACACATGAACGCGCACATGACGTCAGCAGACTGGTGAAAGTGGCCGCCTGTTGCTGGCGAGTCATTGAAGTACTGCTGCAATGCACGCCCAATGAGGGCACGCCCAATGAGGGCACGAGATACATTTGTGCGTGCACGAGATGGAAGGCTGACAGACAGAGCGGCATTCCAATCCGTTTAGCCGGCCCGGCTAAACGGATTGGTTGTACTTTTTACAGTATTACGGCTTCCACAGATGACATTTTTTTATGGATTTTTTGTCAAAGCACTTAAGATATTCATTGCTATCGGGATGTTAAGAGCATTCCATGGAATATAACAAAAAGTGTATCTCGAGCCGGTTTCTCAAACTTACCTACCCCACCTTTAAGATATGTTTTCAATGAATCAGAAAACACTGAAGTGTCAATGGCGAAAAGTAAATTCTTTAAATATCTTGTTTTATCTGTGTACTTTAAACAAACCAACAAACTGTACCTAAAATGTAACCTATCATGCAGGGTTTATTATTAGAAAGCTTTATTTAGGCTAGCTTTTTACCCGTGCTTCCAGTCATTGTGCTAAGCTAACCCGCTGCTGTAGCTTCATGTTGAACATGCAGAAGTGAGAGTGGTATCAATTTTCTCATCTAACTCTAAGCAAGTTTGGGAATTTCCCAAAATGTGGAACAATTTCTTCAATTTGTATGACCCGAAGCTGCTCTTGTGTCTGTACTGATTTAAATGTGGCTTACTATCTTTTTCTTTCAGCATCATGAATGGAAAAGAGTGCTGTTTTTGTATTTTTGGTTGATCCTTTGGCTTGGCTTCATGCTTGCTGTAATGGTTGATGATTTGCTCCTTTTTAGAACTACACATGATCATAAACGGACATAAAAGATGGTTACATGCTGGCTATTTCAGAATGGTGGGAATGCGCCAAACCTCAAGGCAGATTTAAGCGTCCTGTGTTAAACCGATGCAACAGAATGATGTTAGAAACAGCTGAAGCACCACATGGAGCCTTTGGTGCGGTTCTGCTGCACAACGTCACACTCACATAAACACTGTTTGCATATTCATCTCTTTGTTTTTCAATGATAAATGTAACCTTGATTTGCTCTGGGCTTTCTGCATTAACTGAAGACATGCTGTGTGTGGGCTTTGTATTGATTTCTTTGCAGTGAGGGAGTGTATTGATGACTTAAAATGACAGAAAGTCATTACTCATATATGTTTCCATTTGTCTCATCATGTTCAGCAGCAGCAGCAGCAGGAGGAGGAGCAGCTTCAACAGGTAGGCTGTTAAGTATTTGATTGATCGCACTTGGGCTGTATTTAATGACTGCAGCTGATGGATATGGACAGTTAGGACTCCAGGACTGTTTTATGTGATACCTGACGGGGTTTAATTGGTACTTACTAATACAATAAACCATAGAGAAGGGTCATTTCAGATGCATTTTATGCGTAGTTATTCAAGTAAAAGCATTATCATTACACTTCCCAAAATTAATTGTACAATTTACTCAAACTGCACTATTTGACTTTATATGTCTGATCTATTATTTGTATAAAAACGCAAAAGCAAAGCAACATTTTACATAACATGAATTCAATTAAATATTTAAGCTTTAAAAAAAGACATCTGTCACATAGCAAAAAGCATCTTCAACATGTTTTAGATAATATTGTGATTTAAAATGTAAAGTATAAGTCAAAGGCAAAATGATTAAACATAATAAATGATTTGCAAATGTAATTGTATTTTTAATGCATGCACATTCCTTATAAATTAATGTATTAATTTATTACTTATACATTTGTATTATTTTATACTATTTTATTTTTATAATAATTCTTATTTTACACTGTAAACGTCTATATTTGTTGCAGTGCCACAATCCAGACTGCATACACTTTATATAGCTCTATAATTGTTGTATTTAATTATTATTATGGAAAGGAATATGTTAGTAGTCTGTTGTTCATTCTGTTCACTTGAATGCATCATGTGTTGTCTGTCAGCCTGATGTGATGCATTCATGTCCATTTCCATCTCATTTTAATTTCATGTGAAGGTTTTTTTTCCACCATTGATCACATCTCACCTTTTTATAGCTCTCTGTTCTTCTATTTATGGAAATATCCAAATAGACTTTTGGTCATGGACGGCATTTGTCCAGTTCTGTCCCATCTTTAATTATATATTTAGTTTCAATGGGGAGATGGAAAACAAGTGCTGTGAATGTCATCATTAATCTCCTTTCCTAACAAATTAGCAAAGCCTGCTTCTGGAGACTGCAGTGACTTTGTGTTTGCGGGCGATGGAGCCACTAGGGAGGGCATTGACTCCATGGGAGCTTCCTGCCCCATGGACCCAGGAAATGAGGCGGTGGAGGAGTGTGGGAAGAGGCTAAGTGAGTCTTTATGGGCCTCTGAAGACCTCAGCCACGGGTCGGAGATAAGACGGGACGACATGGCGAGCCCTGCAGCCGTGGACTCTCAAAGGGCGATTAGCCTGGACGCCTCCGAGTGCCTGAGTGAAACCAGCAATCTGCCCGGGATGTCTTTGATTCGGAGCGCTGCTTTGGAAGACCTGACGTCCATTGGGGACAAAGAGTTGTTGGTCAATCAAGGAGAGACAGACAGCTCTGAAAAAGATGAAGCCGTTTTAACGTTCGAAAGCATGCCAGCAGAAACACAACAAGCTCAAAGTCTGTCACACTCTGACTCTCCTTCAGAAGATCTTAATGGCAGCAGGAACATTTCTGACACGGACAGCTTTTTAACCAAAATGCCATCCGATACGGCGATTGAAAACAGCAGCAGTGACTCATGGTTACACAGAGCCGGCTATTCAAAGCCTGACATTTCTAATGACTCAGACATAATGAGCATGAGTGCGGCTCTGACCACTGGTACCGCTGAGCTCCGCCAAACTCCCCCCCAAAGCTCTCTGGGCAGAAAGTCTATGGTGCCGGTCCCTATCTTCAAAGGTCTGTTTGCTGTCATACTCACCAGAGCCCTCCTCAGTTAACTCCTTCCACTTCTTTCTTTTACAACGCAGCTTCTACCGTATGCCATGCTGCACTCTCCCTAAGACTTTTTCTATTGGAACATAAACTATTTTACCAGAGGAAGCTTGTTGTCCTCCCTCCCCACTTTTTCTTTCATGGCTCCATCTTTGCTCACTCTGCTGGTTATGCGTTCCCCAATAAAATCCACTTTTTTGGTTTCCACAAGCACTTTGTGTCACCATGCATGCTGCATATCACCAACATTTGGTTTAGTTTTCTGCCTAATTTGAATGTGTTTACGCACTTTTCTTAATTTAGTTCATCTGGGTGGAAATAAGGAAGACATAAAAGATAATAAACGTGTTATCTAAAGTCTGCCACTCTCTCTTCTGTCTATAGCTCAAGCAAAGATCGATAACGGCTCTGCAGATAAGGTATGTGACCAAGAATCATCATTTATTTTATTTAGGGGAATATTCTGGTTTCTTACAAATTGGATCATATTTTGCAGCTCTGTCCATCTTTTCTCTGTTACTGTACCATTTATTCAGAAACATGGCAACACTGGAGAAAGAATCATTCGGTTAGATTGTAAATGGATCTCCAGGTGAGAAAATCTTGCGAGAACTCTTGCCTGACGACCTTTCCTACACAAGGTCAATGCCTTACATCAACCATCTTGCGAGAGTTCCACAAATCGAGGGTTACAATCTGGAAAAGACTGTATCATAATAACAAAGGCTCTTAGAGGGTAGGATGGATGCTTCTACAAAAGTCCTACCCTGGTGTTTATTTCAGTCAAAGTTTATTTTAACCATGACTACAAAAAACTTGACCAAAACCAATTTGGACCACTGACATGGTATTGGCTTTAAAATATAATATATTGCACTTGTTAGCTTTTTGATTAAACATCCATCAGTTACAGAACAATATTATCACACATTTTCAGTCAAGTTTGTTTTCACCTCTTTTTGGTCTCCACCAACAACGTTTGTTCACCATTAAATGTTTGTGTTTGCTATTTCCAGCGGAGTACCGTATATATATTTGTTGTATTTAATTCAGCTGCCTCATTGCAACTATGCTGAAGTTGTTGTCCCCAAAACCAAATACAAAAGTACCTTAAAATGCTTACAACAATTAGCTGTTAAAGTATTATATATGTTTTTAACTGTGATTTGAATGTGTTGGAAGCATTGGATTAAAGAATAGCATTTATTTGTATCATATAGTTTGGAGCATTTGTTTCACTGTCCGACTTTAATTTGTCGGTACACTGAGCGTGCCCCCAGATCTATACCATGTTTACAACTGATAGAAGACGTTAAAAATAAGACCCATGTTGCATAAAACCAGAACAATCCTTTGCCATTTTGTTTGTGAAATACATTCATTCCTTTCTGTCATTTTTCATTTGTTCACTCATTCCTCTTTTATGTTCATTGTCATTAGAACTTTAGATTTAGATTTTATTCCTTTTTCCTTTCCTCCCCGTCACAAAGACCCCAACTGCTATCAAACCAACCTCTTCCCCTAAAAGACCATCCCCAGTCACCGGGGGCAACAAAACAAACTCTCCCTCCGGAAACGGCCCCAGCTCCATCCCCATTAAAACCAGCAGCCCGGGGCCCCGGCAGCCCGGAGTAAGTACACCTCTGAATGCTGCTGAGAGTTTGGAGCTGAGCGGGGGTCAGGTGGTCAAAGATGGCTGCTCAATATCCTTGTCTGGTTTGAGAAGGCACCCTAACATTCATTTGTTTGATAGTGAATCATCCTTTACACCAATTTTGACATTCATTTTTTATGATTATTGTCTCCAAACATGTTTTGATTACTTGTACTTGAATAAAAGCAGCTTTCTTGATGTTAAAGCAGCGTCTCTTCTCTGTTTTTCAGGGTCCCGGTCTTGCAAAGTCTCAAACCCAAGGAGTAAAATCAGCAGCTCAAGCAGGTACAGAACCAGCACTTCTCATTTGTATTCTTTTCATTATCATTTGTCATTTTATAAGGTGTAAGATTTAAGAATTACTTTTGATTTGTTATATTTGTTGTGATACAGCTAGTGCCAAGAAACCTCCCACTCCAAAAAATCAAAAAGGTAAAAATCAATAGCAATCACTTTTAGCGTCCCTTAGGCACACTGCCACAGTCTGATCCGGTCCTGGATCAAACTTGGTCAGCTTTTAGTCCCCAGAGCTCCTAGTCTGATTATATTTTTATTTATTCTTTCACTTCCATCCTCTACTGAGGACTTTTTCGAAACCTCTGACTCATTGCTTCTCTGATTGCTCAAGATGGGAGTGGCCATAGCAGCCCCGGCACTAAATCTCCCTCTAGCCAACTCTCTGCGAAGGCGGCGGAGGCCAACAAAGTGAAGAAAGTGGCGGTGGTGCGTTCTACGCCCAAATCCCCGGGCTCGCTGAAGAGCCGCCCCCCCGTCCCTCTGGCTGCAGCGGCTCCAATGCCCGACCTGAAGAATGTCAGGTCCAAGGTCGGCTCCACAGACAACCTGAAGCACCAGCCTGGGGGGGGAAAGGTAACTGAACTTACATTGATGTTACACTGAGTGCACATCATAGTGCATGCCGATTTAAGACTCCACTGTGATCTGCAGATCGGAGGTTTAGATAACGCTTTGAAGGTAGAACTGTTTGGAAGGTTCAAACCTCATGAGGACATCCAGGGAGATGTGCACTGACTCGTTCCTGAAGTTTTCTTGATAAAAGAAAGAAATACCTATATATTAAGCTGAAATGTAAAGGTACTGTTTGAGGTCCAACATTCTTTTATAGTGTAATTCCATCTTTTAAAACATTGACAATGCATTTATTTATTTATTTTCCTTTAAAACATCCGAGGAATTACATTTTCCGGTTGTACGTCTAATACCTATAAACACGATATGTCAGGAACGCAGGGTGGGAATTTCTTCAAATTTGGCAAAAATAATTCCAATTGAACTGTTAAAGATTCAAATGTGAGGTCGATGTGGCTTGCATCCTGACCTGTTGGGGTAGAACAAGAAAATACCTTGTTTTTAAAAAAAAAATCTTTATAAATACTAACGGCCCGTCCACACACAGGCATGAAAAAAATCTTGAAAAATCTTGATGCTGGGCGTGTCTGAAGCTTGGCGATTTCACGCGCCCAAGGCGACCAACAACCAATCACATGAATCTCCCGCCCCCGACATACAAAGCAATAGCAATGTTAAAACGAAGTAAACTGGATATAAAATCCCCAAACAGGCGAAAACCTACCAGTTTCAGCCACTGTCTCTGCCACCTCCCTCCATGCCTGGTTCCTCCGGTTTGTATCCCGGTAGATAGTTCTGGTCGTAAAGAACCGGGTGATTTGCTACCGTAATTTCTCGTTTGGAATATGAGGAAATGAACTGCGGTCTGGCTCTCCCAGCTTGCACGCGGTTTGATTGGCTAGCGCTTGTACTGGCGGGATTTGCATAAACGGGATTTGATTGGCTGATGCCAGCTTCGAAAGCATCGGGAGCATCAAAAGTTGAACATTGCTCAACTTTTGATGCTCACGATGCTTGCAAAGCCATGCTCCGCTCCCCACAATGCAGTTCGGCGAAGATTAAAAATCTTCTACGTCACCCCATTCAAGTGAATGGGCGAAGCTTTGAAAGATTTTTTTCATGCCTGTGTGTGGACGGGCCGTAAAGGCGTAAAATCTGGCTCCACCCACTAAGATTTGAATCAGCCAATCAGCATTCTTCTGCTTCCAGAGTCTCTGATAAATATGTTTGGAATCAAAACTCCAATTTGATGTCCTGTCAACACAATGTACTTGTTGAATGTGTGTGTGTGTGTGTGTGTGTGTGTGTGTGTGTGTGTGTGTGTGTGTGTGTGTGTGTGTGTGTGTGTGTGTGTGTGTGTGTGTGTGTGTGTGTGTGTGTGTGTGTGTGTGTGTGTGTGTGTGTGTGGGTGTGTGTGTGTGTGTGTGTGTGTGTGTGTGTGTGTGTGTGTGTGTGTGTGTGTGTGTGTGTGTGTGTGTGTGTGTGTGTGTGTGTGTGTGTGTGTGTGTGGTCCGTTTTAGCACTGCAAAGTCTTTGTTCTATTTCAGTGTAGGCTATGGTCACATGTCTAATATTCTATCTATCTATCAATGTAATCTATCTGCTAAAATTGAAAGGATTCTGTGATGTATATTTAGGAACCAAAATGAAATAGTTAAAAAGTCTTATCTCACTGACATTTAAATGGTAGATCAAATAAACAGAAGAGAGGATGTCACTTATTGTTTACTGAAGGAATGAGAGGAAGATTTTCCGAAGCCTCTCTCTGAAGTAGTATCACCTGAAGCTGCATGTTACACAGCTGCATGTTACACATGTTACACAAAGCAACACGACGGTTAACAGCATGGTCAACAGCTCTCTCAGTCCTACTCTCACAGCACATGTTTCAAACCCACAAATCTAAAAGCTGACATTTTCATTCTTCCAGGTACAAATCCTTGAACAGAAGTTGGATTTTAGTAGTGTCCAGTCTAAGTGTGGCTCCAAAGGCAATATGAAACATGTACCCGGTGGCGGCAATGTGAGTAACTGAGGGATGAACTCAACACCTGACTCTTGAGTATCTCTGCAGTTATGATCATCAAAAAACAGCTTTTGGTAAAAGAAGGAAGTGCTCTCTCTTTTCTTTGTGCTCTCCATTTTGTAATAGAAGATGGACTTCTGAATCTTCTGAATCTGCTCAATTAGACACTGAAATATGTGTTTTAACTATTAGTTCATTAAAAGATCAAGGTGCATTTAACCAAAGGTCCACTGCTTTAATGTGTTAAAGTTGGCATCTGTAACAATATGGTCATTTTGTAGACTCACATGTTACTTTGATGTTTATCTATCCCTATTTAATAACATGCACTTAGTATATGAGAATCCCCCCAGTAGTTTCTGCAGTAAATGTGATGTGTGACATACTAAGTTATGGATGGCAGCTTTAATGAAATGATCAAAAACCTGCTTTAATCTCCATCTCTTCAACATCTTATTTCTTCCATGTTGGGCTGATCCCCTCCTGCAGTTATTCTCAATGGAATTAAGGACTTGTATTTCTTCTTCTCACACCTTCGCAGGTCCAAATCCTTGACAAGAAGCTGGAGTTACCTAATGTTTCATCTCGTTGTGGATCTAAGGACAACATAAAGCACACCCCTGGAGGAGGCAAGGTGAGGAAGCCTGGGTTTCACTTGGAAAGCATTTCCTTATTTGTTTCTGAGCTGAAATAGATAATACCACACATTGAGGAAACGTTCACAATTCAAAAATACAACAAGTCAGTCTCTTTGAAAAGCATAGCGTAGTTTTGGTACAGCACATATATGCTAAACAGATACATGATGTTTCTGAGTTCTGACCCTTTGATGAAGTAAAAGAAAACATTGATAATACAACTTTAATTAAATGGGACTTTGTAGTTTTTATTGTAATCATTTGCAATCACATATATTGTTTCAATCATTTGGGGTTTTGGGTGATGTGGTATGACTTGTTATAATACTCATGCAAGTTCTGCAGTCATAAGTAGTGTCTATTTCTCTACTGTTTTCAAGCTGATTGAAGGACGTTTACTCAATCAAGTACTAAGGGTTCTCCTAATAGAGTGTTTATTCAAATGTAAAACATTTAATCTTTTACCCGTGCACATGCCAAAAAAAAAACATGTGTGGACATGTTTGCCCATGAAGACACCCAGTGAAGAAGGATCAGCACAGCGTGGATTGTTTTGGTTTTGCCCCTTTAAAGGCCAACTTGCATCTCTCATTTCTCCCCTCTCCACTCTGGCTCTCAGTCTGGGTTAGCATTGAAAGCACTACAATACTATAGGAAGAAAAAGAAAGGGCTCTCTATTTTTCAAATACATGAGAAAGAAGATGGACTTTCAGCTCTCCACCTGTTCTCTCCTCCAGGATAACCGTCTTTCATATCAACTTTCCAGGTTCAAATTGTTGAAAAGAAGCTGGACTTAATTAGTGTGCAGTCTCGGTGCGGCTCCAAAGATAATATGAAACATGTAGCGGGTGGAGGCAATGTGAGTAGATCGGGGGGGTGGCCCCTGGCAGATTGCAGGGGCCCAAAACCCTTGCTGGAAGACTGCATCTTCGCTGAGGAGGGTCTCAGCGTGCACAGAGCCTCATGTGTGTCCCCTCTGACCTCCATGTGATCCAACACTGCTAACCCCTATTAACAGTTGTATCATTAGTACACAGCCATGAGCAGTGGTGACTACAGGAGACCTGAACACCTGGTACATGTCCCTAAGTGCAGTGCTATAGTACACAATCCATTTTTATATTGTACTTTTTACTTTCCTACAATTATATTTATATTAATAGCTATATTTACAAAATACATGATGAATAGTTATAGATTAAATCAACCAACAGTTTATACAATTAGATTTGCAAATATTCTGTCTGTTGGCAGACATTTCTAATGCCTTTTTCGTGGTTCTCAGTAGAGATTATTAGTCACTTAAATTGTAATTTGACAAAATAAATTGAGGACAGGTAACAACTATCACCGGACTACTTTGATCCCGAGGAACTCTTAAAATATGAAGATTCTCAGGCACGTTCTGCACTTATAAGAAGTTTTCGGGGAAAAATTCGACAATTTGACATGAGATATACTGATAGGTCCGAAGGTTTAAGTAACAAGGATCAGTTGGTTTAGGGTGAAATTCCCATTTCATAAATGTTATTGACCCGTGTCGGCATGTGCACAGTAAAGCGTATGAATGTGCCTGCCCGTGAAGACACCAAATGCAGTATGATAGTATTGTGTGCATTCTTTGATTATTTTACATTTTTGGACATGCCCCTTTGAAGCACTGCAAGGTTTATCTTTTGATTTCTTAATCATTTGTTATCACACCTAACTTTGGGTAAAGATTTCCATTTAAAGCACATGAAAAGAAGATGGACCTCTGAATGAGATGTGTAAAGTCACACTGTGCTCAGTAAGACAGTCACCTCTGCACTAAAGTGACCCCCCCTCTTCACTGAGCCCTGGTTCCCCCTCTCTCTAGATCTGCCGCTGTCTCTTCCTCCAGGATAACCGTCTTTCATATCAACTTTCCAGGTTCAAATTGTTGAAAAGAAGCTGGACTTAAGCAGTGTGCAGTCCCGGTGCGGCTCCAAAGATAATATGAAACATGTAGCGGGTGGAGGCAATGTGAGTAGATCGGGGGGGGTGGCCCCTGGCAGACTGCAGGGGCCACCCCCTTCCTTCACTGAGGAGGATGTCCGCATGACGAAGCCTCCTGTGTGTTCCCTCTGACCTCCATATGATCCAACACGGCTAACCTCCTCCTATTAACAGCGTTATCATTAATACACAGGCATGAGCATTAGAGTGGACCTGACCCTAGATCAGTGGGGTAACAATAGTTACTTATGTTTTACACTTTCCTGCATTCATAAACCAGCTCTAGTTACACAATGTTGTTTACATATAAAACATACGAGAGTTTTTTCAAATATGATGCAACAGTTTTTACAATTAAAGAAAAAATGATTTGTCAATTGAAATAAAAAATGTAATATTTGAATTACTGATTAAATTACTTGAAACTCCTTTTTCATTGTTCCAGCCTTTTAAAAGAGACCTTTATCTATTGTTATTTTTAATGACAATTGAATATAAAAAGGTCAGGCTACGGCATTTGTTTTATATAAAAATGCACCTCAATTAAAACAGTGAAAATCAATGTACATGAGTAATAATATCATTTTATTTAACACTTATATTAATTTACATTTTTATTATAATTTAATTTACAATTTTACTTATTTAAATGTTTGATACTTACATTATTTTACTTTAATGAGATGTTTTTTTTACAGTATGGGATTAGTACTTGGACTTCCTCCACCATAGATGTATTTAATCACCAGTAGTGAGTCTGCTCTGAATCTCAGAACTAGTTCTGATAAATGTGAGGTTCTTTGGTCGAGTGCTCTGTGGCAGCTCTCAGCGTTATGTAATGCTCATGCTCCTCTGTAAGCTGATCACTGTTGAACCTGTGCTTGTCGCTTTGACTGTGATCAGAACGTTTCACCAACCCAAACCGGCCCCTCGACGAACATGCATGAACCCGTGTGTTTCTGTTGTTCTCCACCTCAATCCGATGTGTGTTTAGCACAGAAAAGTGATGGTGATCTTAATTCCCTTGTGGTGAAGCGCACTAATTGTGACACAGAGGAGAAGCAGTTGTAACAAAGAGTCCCTGTCCTCTCTGTGCCTGCTGTGGTGTGCTCTGATGACCTCAGAGCAGAGGCTGAGCGCTTTGTGGATCCAGACAATCGGCCATGACAGGAGGGATGAGACTCTGATGCACACGCAGAAATATGGCTACATCATGAGCAGTGCATGTGAAAGAATGCAGAATATGATCCGTTACACGTAACGTCTTAACTAAAACTGGATCATTTTCTGCATTTCTTTCATTAACACTGTCACAGACTGTAGAACATGACCTGAAACTCTAACCCTGTGTGTCTTGACGTATATGATGTTTGCTTTTAGCAGCAGTTCCTCTGTAGTTGCATGTTACCGGGTTCATATATATTTGTTTGACTTTGAATTGACTTGTTTGTGCTCTCTGTGTTTCCCCTTCACAGGTTCAGATTGTGCACAAAAAGGTCGATCTGACCAACGTTCAGGCCAAATGTGGATCTAAATCCAACCTCCACCATAAGCCAGGTACATTTGTGTTCGTAGTATCCTCTTTCAAAATCTTTCAATCTATGTAATAAAATACTTTCTATTTTTTAGAGCTTCTTTAAACTTAGTCTTTATGCAGCAGGCTTGGTTTTGGTAGTGCTTTGATGTAACTCTACACATTTCATAGGGAATGTTATACTTTCTACTTCACCGCCACATTAATTCTACAGCTAAAGTTAATATAGTTACCTTCCAGATTTTACATCAAATATATATATTAAATAATAAACGATTAAACCAGTGATTCCAGCCTAAATCTTGTGACAAAAGTCAGTGTCTAGTTGCGGCTCCTTGTCACATCTCAATTTCATTCATTTGTTGCTACAGCAAAAAGGGAGGGGGAAATATCAAATATTTCGCAAAAAAAGCTACAATTTGAGACAGGTCCAACAGATTAACACACATGTGTATATCAGAAGTGTTTCCCCTGAGACCTATCTGGAGACCTATCTCTGGAGGGGCCCGACCCCTAGTTTGGAACCACTTGATCTAATACGGCAATATATTATAAAATAACAGCCACAGGGACATTTTACTGCAGAAGTACTTTCACCGACATTTTTAAGTACATTTAGTTTGTAATCATTCTGTACTTTTACTTTTTTTTTATCAGGACTTTCACATTGTTGTATTTGTACTTCAGTAAAATATCTAGGATGTCTTCCGCTGCTAGTCTTGTGCTTTTATAGGAATTGATTTCACGTTAACTTTCTCTTATTCATATATTTATATTTATGTTGATAAATACGTCTTTATGTGGTTATTTATGGTACTATGCATTCTGTGTTCATCAGGTGGTGGGAATATCGAGATCAAAAATGAGAAGGTGGAGTTCAAAGGTCAGTCTAAGGTCGGCTCTCTGGGAAACATCGGCCACGTCCCTGGAGGGGGGCAGAGGAGGGTAAACACACTCATGTTGAAACTAGATCTTCTTCAGTCTTAGCCTGCACAGCTGGAGAGTTTCATCACATCTGCATGCTAATGACCTAACAACAGCACCTGAACTCAGCAGCACTATATCCTAAAAGAAGAGAAGTCGAGAGAACTGTGATCTTTATAGTGATCATTATTTATCATAAAAGAAACTCGTTTCAGATCAGGAAACTAAATATATCATTAGAAATGCAGCAATTAATAAGCATTTCTCATTGTCTTTATTATGAAAAGCAAGATGGAATCAGCTTTATTGATAAATATAGGTGTTCACATACGAGGGATTTGCCTTCCTATTTTGTGGCTTGACATTCAAAATAAAGTACATTTAAAAATGAATATATACAAAACATTTCACTTAAATAAAAAATAGCTATACAGCTGTTTAAAATATAAGATGGAGTCTTCAAATGTTTACAGTATGTAAAATGTAATACTTGATGTAGACGTATCGAAGTGCAGGAAATATAATTAACTGTTTGAATTAGTTGGTTGAGAAAAGAGGATTGCACTCCAAAATGTAAACTTTTCAGGAGTCTAAGTCGTGCTTTAAATGCTGAGCAGACTTTTTCTAACCCACAATGCAGCACATGATTTCAGATTTTAAAACTTTGGTTTAAAAGAAACCATTTTAAGAGCTCAAAACAAACCGGTAAGTCGTCCATCTCTCACCCCATCCTTCCCTGAGCTTGCTGCTTTTATCCTTGTTTTGTTCAAGCTTCCATCTTTTGCATCCAGTTGTTGTCATCATAGATTATTGATTTGTCATCATTATATTTAGTTTCTTCATTTTGTTCCGTTGTGTTTTGATTTCTGTTGATGCCATCGCATTTATTTTTGTCGCATGCCTTATCATTCCCTGTGTGGGGTTCCTCTGTAGCGGGAGAAAGGGAAGGAAGCAGAGGGGAGTTCCTCAGGCAGCCCCTCAATCCCCTCCCCCGCTGTCACCCCCCCCCAGTCACCTCAGACTGTCCCTTCAGCACCCATCCTGACGAACCCCCTCATAAAGATTGAGGACTCCCGTAAGTACTCACCAGCTGTGTGTCAGGCTGAAACCTTGTGCACAGCTGAGCATTACAGCGCTGTGTGATGAACTGCCAGAAATATGCTGCCATAAAAGCTGACTGCTAAATTAGCACTGAGTCATCAACACTGAAAATCTACTATGCCATACAAAATGAGGAAAGTCATGATGTAGCAGGTCACATAAGATTCGTACACAAATCAGAGTACAGTAGTCAAAGTGGACATATGTGGACATTTCGGACAAAACATGGGAAAACAAGGTCATAGTATCTTGCAAAAGTCACTGACAACAACATAGTATACTAAGTAGGAATATCAGACGAAACTAAATAGTATATAATACAAAACAAAAACAATCCTAATAGTTTGTTAAAAATATAAGAACAAACATCATGGCATAGTATGTTGAAAATGTGCAAGAAGAAAGTATAGTACATGTGAAATATCAGAAAACCAACATAGTCTAAAATATCAGAAACGGTCATATGTCGAAAACATTGTTAAAAACTGATAGTACAGTAAGGTAAAAAAAATGTATAGTATGTAATCAAATATAGGCCTATATATATTTTATTACATATTATACGGTTTATGTGTATATATATTATATATATATCATAAAAATAACATGTATAGTATGTCGAAAATATGCAAAAGAAAGGACAAATTATTCATTTCAGAAAAATAACAAAAACGGTGTCAAACATTGTCAAAAACTCAAAGTAAGGTAGGTCAATCTTTTACTACACAACATGTGCGTCATTTATTAACACAGCTAAACCTCCAAACCATTGGAGAAGATCTCCATAGTAACGCACTGACAGCTGTGTCTGTGTGAAGGTCAGTGGCGGCGCCAGGGTATGGTAGGCTACAGCCATACCAAGAAATGGCTTAGCCCCACCTTAGCCCTAGCCCTCATGAAAAATGAGACTAGAAACGGTTTTGAAAACTTTTGTCACGTAGTGACCATCTTGTCAATGGAACATCTTTGATAATGTCTTCTGGCCAATCAGAATCAAGATAACGACGTGGTGTTGTTGCAGGAAGTCCCGACGGAGAATACTTTTTCTGTAGTACATCTCTATATACATCGATACAACATTACGTGTTGATAGAAATCAACACGTAATGAAATAAGACCCCACGGTTTGATGATTGATAGGTGTGTGGGCTGTCTTTCATTTTGACACACAGAACAATGGGGGCTATCCACCCTTATCCACAATGTAAAGTCATTCACAGCCTCTTCCTCTTCTCTCTCTGAGGAGCAGCAGGTTCAGCTTTCAGAACAAAGTAACAAAACTAAAATGGCATTCATTTTTTAAAATATGTCGTGTAGTAATAGATTTATTTAGTTTTCTTCTCAAGAGAGTACCAGAATGTGTATTTTATGTTAGTATTTCAAAAAATCTCCTGGGGGAGAATCCCCCCAGACCCCCCTGCAGGGGTTGGGTTTTCAGCATGTCAACTCTTTCACCTGTGGAGAAATTGCAGGATTGGCTCCAGGTCGCCCTTTTTATTTACTACAAGACAAATGTGCCTTTTTATTTCATACAGTTCTATTTGGATTGAGACAGGGAAATAATCTAAACCTCACGCGTGGCGTTTCACTGTCAAGGGGGGCGTGTATGTAATTACATTAGTCTTACAAGTCTGCTGCAACACGTTATTCCCCAGCAGGGGGTGCTCCAAGCTGCATGTCTGACCCCCTGCTTTGACCCCCCCCCCCGCAGATTGAGAGCCACAAGCTGAGCTTCCGTGAGTCCGCCAAGGCGCGCACGGACCACGGCGCAGAGATCGTCTCCCTGGAGGACTCCCCCCACCCCCTCAGCACCGTGTCCTCCTCCGGCAGCCTCAACATTGCCGACTCCCCGCAGCTCTCCACACTGGCCGACCAGGTGTCCGCCTCCCTGGCCAAACAGGGCTTGTGAACACCCCCCCCCCCCCCAAACCTCCACCTGGCTCCACTCAACCACACGACCACGTAGAGGAGTTGTGATGCCTCCCTCGTTATTTTCACAGGACTTTTTTAGCTACCCATCACTGTTTATCCTTCACTAAACTGGCATTACGTAGAGAGAGAGAAAAATGATTAACAAGTATGTGTTTAATTTCTCTCTGTGGTCTCTTCATTTGCTATTTTTACCTTTTGTAAGTCTCCCTTTTAAGAGTTTAAGCACCCCAGCAGAGCAAGATTGTCCCTGTGAATCCACAGATCTTCATACATATCCTGGTAATCATTTAACACTTGGTTCCCTGTCCCATCGACTGTGGCCCTAGATAGGTCTGTATCTAACGTGTCCCCTTTCCTTTCCTGCTGGGGTCCGGGTTGTGCTAACGCAGAAGGAGCAGCTAACAGGGTACGGTGAGGGGTGTCGGAGGAAAACTGCTAAAAAGAAAAGTAGCAAATTAATTGTGCAAGGCAGAGAAAATGCTTTCAGACCTCAGTGCTGTATTTTGCTTGGTGTAGTCCCGACATGACGGGGGTGTAACCTGGATAAAAAAAAGAAAAGAAAAAACAGAACTGCTAGCGTAGAAACTTTGGTTTGTGTTGGGCACAGTTTTATAATCGTTCTCTGTGGATATATGACATGTATTTGATATGAAGAAACATTTGTATCGTGCCTGCTACTGTCAGTGTTATTTTATTTTGTGTTACTGCTCTATTGTAAATGCGCTTAAGAAGATCAATTAACCTTAAGGCATTTTAAACTGTCATGGCCAAATTATTAAGAGGAATAGAGACTCGAAGCTAGTCATTGATAACAGTATTATGCACATTTAAGGTAGGTAGAATAATCATCACAATTACTGGAAGTTATTCTTAAAGCGAGACAACGCAACTTCTGATAAAATGATGCTAAGCTAACAGTGTTAAAGTAAAGACGCTAGTTGTAAATTTGACTTTTAAGATTGTGTTAGCTCCTCTCTTAAACGTTACATAATCTCACTTTAAAGGTGGAAAAAATGTGTACATTTGTTCTCAACCATAATGATTAGCAGGTTGGTGGATGATGATGATGATGATGATGGATGAAGATAGGTTGACTGGGCCAAGTTAAGTTGAGGGAAAGCTGTACAGCAGTTGATGTTTGTCTCTGGACGGTTCTACATGACACTAAATTAGCTGGTTGCTTTTAGCTTCCCTAATAAAATACTAGAGATCACGGCTAAGAAAAGCTACTCGGCCAAAAGTATGTGGACACCCGAATTCTCGGCCTATATCTCACGAAATTAGAAGCAGCAATGTGTCTGTAATACTTCTGACTAACATACTTAGCTTCCTCAGCTAATTCCCAAGTTTAAAAGCAAATATTACAGTTAATCGCTCTCATGACACCTCAATATTATCTTGATCCACAGATTCAAAGAGAGTAATGAGTGTTTAGTGTTTTGTAAAGATGCAACCAGCCGTTTTCCTCAATTTGTAATGAGATCCTTAACAATATAACACTCCGTTCATGTGCTCAAACCCGTCCTAATGTTGATCGGTACTCCAGTGACTCATCACTATTACCCGCATTCATGAAAACAAGTGAAACAACTTCTTGCATGCACCTCATGTAGGAGTCTGCCTGTTGCCCCCCCTTTCACAAAGTGGTCTCTTTGTACTTCCTGTTTAATGAACACTTCCTGGAAAGACATGATCTAGAAAGAAAAGGTGGTTATAAAGAGTCCACACTCCCAACTGTGTGTATTTAACATGTTGCCGACATAGATTTAAAGGTGTTTTATCTCTATGATCGCAAAGATAGGACTCAAGAGTGCTTGCACCTTTATCTGCATGCTGAGTTCTTTAGACCACATCATGTGTGGGTGAGAGGAGGAGGACGACGAGAGGTAATGTGCTTCGGTGGGTCGGTTTTCTGCAGTAACAAAACTCATCACCCTTTTTTCCGTTTGGTTGCTTCTGACGCTGTACAGTTGTGGAAATGTGATTGTTCTCGTTATTGTGCATTTGATCAATAACTGGTTTATGATGATTCTTGTTGCTGTATATGTGTATTTGAAAATAAATGCTACGAAGTCACCGTCGTTGTGGAGGATTATATCACAAGTACGGAAATCGCTCCCTATTTTTCACGTAGTGCACCGTCTGCCATTTGTTTAACGTAAATATACCCAAATGTGTTCACGATGGCACGTTAGCAGATGTTTCTAATGATACACATTTGTAACTATTAAATGTTAAAAGATTAACAGTGACTGAGTGAAAGTGGGAGTGATTTCTGACAATTGTCACACTTAAAGGACTTGAGGCCAGACCAATAACGCCAAGTTAAACATAAATGTTTTAATGGTACTATTTACAAAAAAGAAAAAACAATTCTGCTTTTTGATTAGGTTAACTGCTGCAACAATCAAACAGGTACATTGACATCTTGCTTAAACTACAAAAGAAAAAAACAGTGATTGAATGGCTGTGGCATTAAAAGGAGGTGTAAAATGAAAAAACAACCATAGTTTTTTTTTGCATAGCAATTAGTTACTTAAGGTGGGGGGAGGAGAAGGGGGGGGGCAAGAATAGTGTGGTTGTGATGGTGGTGGGGGGGTGGCAAAAAACAATGACCCATCTGGCAATGGAGTAGTCTAATCAGAGTGAATCTATTACACAGCAGAAAAATATTCCCTTAAATTGAAAAACCTGAGCTCGGGGTGGTGGGGGGGGGCTTTTAGCTGCTACATTTGAAATGATTGCAAGAGGGAAAAAAGAGGAAGGGGGGGGGGGTTGTGTTATTTCTTTATTTTGCCACATTTTTCTAATACAGCAACGACTGTACGAAGAGTGAAACCAGCAGATGGAACAATCACCCCCCGCCGCTTGTTTCTTTAAGGACATCTTACTGTGATAAGACTAACATGAGCATGTTTACTTTTAGCATGCAGCAGCGCTTTATTTCTGTACGGGCGAGTGCTCAAAAGACACCCCCGGCCTGTCTATGCCACCACCCTCTTTAACAAAAGAAGAAAAAAAGAACAGAGACAGCGGGGCGAGACGAGGAGCCGGACTCTCTCCAAAAAGAGACCGTAGAAAGGAATGATTTACTGTTACGCAGGAACAGACAGAACACGTACAAATAAAACATGTCAGGAATGAAAAAACAAACAAAGAAAAAAAAGCAAAAACCAACAAAACTAGACTTGGCAGTTGGAGAAGTGCTCTGGTGATTTCAGGCGACCTCTAGTGGGAGAAGAGGGGAACCACATCTCAAATGTACCTGTTTATTTGGATGAGGAGGAGAAAGGAGAAGGGGATTTTTTCTTGTTTTGTAATTTGTCACTCCACTAAAAATGTACATGGGAAATACAAGCAAACTAGTCAATAGAAAACACCCTTTGGCCATATTTTGAGGAGTCCGCTACATAGTGCGCTACAAGTGTACACGCGACATATGAAACACCACTAAGCCCCCATGTACATTGTTCAGCCTACTACAGAAAACATTTTTTGTAACGTGTTGTTTTATACTTTTTTTTTTTTACATTTATCCTTTTTTTTCCTGTGACAAAAACAAGTGTAGGGAAAGGCTTCTATCTCCATAATGTTCACTAAAAACTGTGAAAAGTATTAGACTGATGTTTGAATATCAAACAACAGGAACCCATTTAATATCTTTTATTCTGGTTTGAGGTTCTGCTTGTTAATGCCAGAGAGGAGCTGTGGGGCGGGAGGGGGCGGGGCCGCAGCCTGTCAGTCATTCATCGGTGGGCGGCGGAGGCCGCCTTGAGTTTGGAGCCGCCGTCCTCGTCGCAGGGCGGTTCCATGTCGTCCGAATCCAGCCGCCCGTAGGCTGTTGCCCGGCAACCTGAGATGGTGCGGATCCGCGGCCTGATGTCGCTCTCTGGCTCCAGCTCGGGGTCCGCCGGCATGGGGAAGCCGCGGCGCTCCCACGGCGCCACCGTCTGGAAACATCAACATCGAACATTAAACATAGAGTCAAATCTATACTTTTTTTCCCTACAATTATTATTATGAACTGGCTTACACTTACTAAGTCATTATAGCCAGATAACTGATGATTTAAAACCACATTGTTTCAATATTTTAAATCATCAATAGTCAACCTTACAATGTTAGCACGTTATAGATATCATGGTATTGGGTCGAAATAGCGTGATATCCTGATTCTCTCCATATCCAACAGCCCTTTATGTCCATTCATCTCATGTTCATGTTCAGCATGGAGAACTACCACACCCTCATTTCAATCCACTGCAGGTTTGTTTTGTCCTATCATCATTTCAAAATGTTAATTGAACCGGTGACTTGAATCTCACATGATAAACAATATTCTTGGTGTAAAAACCTTATAAACTAACTATTTAGGGATTGGATCATTTTGAAGCGCTTCTAACAGGAAGCAGATGTCTGCCCCCTGCTGGAGGGGGGGGGTACGTACCCTCTCCTCGAAGGTGAAGTCGGGCGTGGAGCAGCGCGTGTCCTCGCTGGACAGTAGCCGGTGGGAGTCCCTGGAGCAGGGTGTGTGGGGGTTGGAGGCCGTGTCGGGACTGGGGGGGCTCATGGGGGAGGGCATGTAGCTGTAGTCGTGGAGCATGGGGCAGTGGCCGGGGTCCGGAGAGGCCGGCTGGGGGGTGGGAGGGTTGGTCCCGCACAGCAGAGGGGTGGTGCGCCCGTCAACAGACTTATACGACCTGAGGGGGGAGAGGTGAGGTCACACATTCAGTCTTCTTTGTATTGTTTCCCGTCTGATATTATGTAAAGCGTCTTTGAGCATTAGGGAGAGCGCTACAACATTCCCATGTAGTAGTATTATTATTCACAACAGGAAGATGAGCCACTGAAGAAGGGCTGTACATTCTGTGTTTTACTTTTGAAGCTTCTTTTGAGGCGTTTGAATAAAGCCTCTGTTGTCTGTCATCATCGCCTTAAAATAAGAAGATTCCATGAACAAATCCTCCGTTTCAAGGAAGTGATTCATCGCATTCAATTATTTTTGTACACTCCCAAACTGAGTTACTCTACCATCCTTCTACAGTCATCACCATTTTTGATAATGACCTTTTTAAAAATGACCTTTTCTGTACGACTTCAGTCATTCACTGTAATAGTGTTGGAGACATTTGTAGCTATTGTGGTTATATACATGTCGGTTTTTTTTGTTCTGTTACATTAACATACAACAAATCCTGAATGAAGCTCAGGACTATCGTGTGTGTGTGTGTGTGTGTGTGTGTGTGTGTGTGTGTGTGTGTGTGTGTCAGGGTTCTTACACTTTTTCCAAAGTCAAATTCAAGCACTTTTCAAGGTGCATTTTCCAGCTTTTCAAGCATCTTACAGCTGTTGTAAATTACATATTTATATACACATACTCAAATGATTATTTCCCTACCTCACATTAAATCAGATGTTCTTTATGCTATAAACAACCAAATGTGTGTTTCGTGATAGCCTTCTACACGAGGATGAACAATTAAAGAAAAGAAAACTAAGTTTAATATTTCAAAAGGAGTGACCTGTACGTAGACTGGGCCTCCCATCTAACCTGGCTGAGCCGATATACAACAATCAGCCAAATAACTTTTCAATACATTATTGATTACTATTTTTGAGGTACTTTTAGGTTGGCAGTGAACATAAGTCAGAGGTACATGGTGTACTTTTATTCCACTACATGTATTTAATACCTTCAGTTACTTCACAGATCTGGATGAATGATGTGAAATCTAATCAAGTGTTAAATCTTTAGTTCCACCTGGAGTAAATCCACCAGCTACCCTGCAGTAAAGTCATTCAAACTAGCTGCACCTTTACCAGCTTTGAGAACACTTTCATGATCAATCATTATAAAACATATCATATATATTATTCTGAAATAAACCAATCTGCACAATGACTACTTTTACTGTCGCTACTTTCACTATATTTTGATGAGAATACTTTTCTACTTTCACTTGAGGAACATTTTGAATGCAGGACTTTTACTGTAACAGAGTATTCCTACACTCTGGTACTTCTACTTTTACTCAAGTACAATATCTGAGTACTTGTACTTTTACTCAAGTACAATATCTGAGTACTTATTCCACCTCTGGTAGCGTATTAGCCTGAATTGTAGCCACAAAATCACGCAGAGCTGCATAAAAATAGACTCACAATGGTAACAAGTGGAAAATAATATTTACAAATGTGTACAATGATTTGTAGGTAATGCTGACCACTCAAGACACCTGACTTATACATCTTCAAAGGAAGACTGTGTTCATTCTACAATTACATGGGGTTAAAGCAAAATGTAGTTTTACTTGTATAATACTTCAATTTCATATAAAAGCCTGTTTCTAAAAGTATCAACCATAGTGACCCGGTCAAATCCTCAGTTTATAATTTATAACAACATACTCAAATATAGTCACAAAATAAATGTAATCTATTGATTCGTGTTCACCAACACGATTTTCCCCTTTTTTTCGTGACACACACAACGATTTAAAAAAAAAATATTTCTATTGGTAGTATGTTTCGTGCCTGCGTCTTTTTGTCCGTTCGGGTCTTGGAAGACCGGAAGCTGTGTGGTTCATAAAAACATGTTCTTACTCAATATCAAGCCACGATTATTGTTTTTATTTTAAATCGTATAATGTCGGGCTTTTTTTGCCATCTGTGAGGAAAAGAAATGGAGCTCAGAGCAGTTTGTTTTCATCTGTTTTTAAATAAACAAAGTCTTGGCTTTCAGAATATTAAACTTGTTTCGGCAAATTCAGATGATAAATATAACTTTGAAGCTTCGGCATAATTACGAGCGAAGAATGGAGTAACTTGACGTACAGGCATAACAGCCGGTGTTTCTTGTGAGTATTTCCCCGGTACACAAACACAATACACACAAATGCAAAAATACACAAACACACACACACACACACACTCGCGAGCTTCCCCCAGACCAGTAATACAAACGAAACTGTGTCTTCGGGTCAATGTGACTGATTTCGAGAGAGCAAGTTACATTTGGTTTAGGCACGAAACATACTACCAGTAGAAATACATTGCTTTTAAAATCGTTCTGTGTCGAATCAATAGATTATATTTCGTGACTATAACACGAAATGCCGTGAGACTGGGTTGAATTACAACAATGAGTGCTTCATCCTCTGAACACCACAGGATGGCGACTGTAACGCACATATTAACATAGGTATGCTCCTCTGAAATGATTGTCCCCTGCAATTATTATTATTATCCCTCATCGAGTTCGCTATTCAGCTAGCTAACATTAGCTTAAACAAACGTAACATGCAACGTTAGCCTAATCTAAAATGCTCTTCTGCGGCGTACCTTTCATGTGGCTCGTCAGCGCAGACTCTCCCATCGTTATTTTTGCAAACTTTGCAGGAGGCTACTCATGGGCTTGACCCTCGTTTTAGCCATGGCTTGTATTTGTCTTCTGCTAGCCAACGCTCGTTTGAAACTGCAACCTCCTGGCACACTGTCATCTATCACTCTCATCAGAATGCCCAGGTCACACGCAACACAAACACTTGCAGGTCACGCCCATAGCGCGGGAAGGTGCAGCGGAGCTGTTTTATGTAGAAGCGAAGCAATTAAGCTCGCTCTGACTTCTTTATTTTCTTTGAATCTAAATCACAATTTCAAGCACTTTATCCCAAATTTAAACACCATTCCCAAAATTCAAGCACTTTTCAAACCTTGAAAACACCTCGTACAATTTCAAGCATTTTCAAGGATTTCCAGCACCCGTGGGAACCCTGGTGTGTGTTACTGACCTGCTGCCTCTCCTCTTGGCCGGGGCCAGGGCCATCCATGTCCAGCGGGATCGCTCCTGGTCCTCGTGGGGCTGGTGGTGCACGGTGAAGGCGGCGTCCGTCAGGTCCTCCACCTGCAGACACACACAGAAACACACCATCAGGACAGAGACATGTGCCAACCACTACTTTGATAACTGATCAATAATGTAAACACCCTCTGGTTTGACCTTGCCATGTTCCTGCAAGGATCACCGAGTTCAATTCAAGACTTTAAGAGTCCTGTTGATACAAAATTGAAGGCATGTTGTGAAAGTATAAAATAAAGAAAACCAGCAGGGATAATGAGTAATTATTTTTAATTAAAACTAGCACTTTATTCCCTCAGTCATTCCTAGGAAATATTAGCAATAATTTCAATTTTAATTAAAATGTGAAGGTTAGACCCCGCAGCAAAATGGAAAAAATATTTCAGACCTTTGTTCATCTTTTGAGGGAACTGATAAATAATTGAAGTCAATCCTGACTAGTTGTCTTGGCTCATTTTTAGATTTTGATTATTGTGGAAGGCCAATTGGTATTTTAACTTTTTACACATTTTCAAGAAAAACATATTTTTATTGAAAACTATTGGTCTAATACATGTCTCCTTTTACACTTTGTTGCAACAGGGCATGTTTTTTTTTTTTTTTGAGGGAAATAGTTTTTTTTTAAGCTGTTGTTGGCCTGTGGAAAAATGTAATCATAAGAAATGACTCCGGAAAATCTGCAGATAGAGCCATAAGAAATGACTCTGCAGATAGAGCCATAAGAAATGACTCTGCAGATAGAGCCATAAGAAATGACTCTGCAGATAGAGCCATAAGAAATGACTCTGCAGATAGAGCCATAAGAAATGACTCTGCAGATAGAGCCATAAGAAATGAATGCAACTGATTATTTAATGTTTAATGTTGTTTTTATAGGCAATAATTTAAGCTTTGTTAGTTCCAGGTTTAATATGTGCAATAAGTTCATTTCAATACGTTTTTACAATAAATATTGAACCAGTCCGGTCCTCGACTAGTACCCATCCATCCATCTTCTCCCGCTTATCCGTGGTCGGGTCGCGGGGGTAGCAGTTCCTACTACTACTAGTACCCATTTTTTTATTTTGGCCCACTGTGTATTTGAGTTTGACACCCCTGGTCTAATAGCTGCTTTGACCACCAGGTGTCACTGTTTGGTCTCTGCCACACAGTGTATCTGAGTAAAAGCACATGTGCTATTGTGTATTAAACAGGGAACACAACATTATTTCTCAGAAAGCATCTGCAGATTTTTAACCCTTTGATCTCTGGGATAGAAAATACCTACCATTTACTATTTGTATGTATCTTAAAATACTTTATATCACTGAAATGAATGTACAACATAGGCTAATAGGTATTGGCAGATTTAAAGCCACAAATAATGGATGAGTATTAAACCATTTTTTACTCTGAAATAATTACCATTTTACATTTTTGACACAACTGCATGTAACATAGCAAAATGAAATCAACAAAAGCACTGCTGCGAAAGACAGTAGCCTTAGCTTCATGATTTAAACATAATTAATGCTCTAGCTCTTATTTTTAGATTGATTTAAAGAGGATTGTGCAAACTAGCACCCATGGCCTCCCGTGGGAGCTGTGTTTTCCAAGGGTGAGTCATATGGCACAGGTAAACAGATGTCTAATGAAGGATCTGCTAAATAAACATCACATGGAACACAGCAGTGGACCCTTACCTCCCGTTCATCCTCCTCCTCAGTGATGGACTGAGAGAAGATGTCCACTGATCGCCACCTGAGCACACAGAGGAATACATGTGAGTGCAGAGAAACCAGCAGTATACAAAGCACTGGAGGAGGAAGGGTTGTGTCAGAGCAAACAGACCCCAGGTCAGCCCTCCTGCAGGCAGTTACCTGGGGGTGAGGATCTCTTTGTACTGCAGCTTCTCCACCCTGGTGGTGGCAGCCACTGACATGGGGATTACGATGTTGTTGATGTCAAAAGAGCTTTCACCTCGCCTCCTCTTGATTGGCTGCTGCTGGAACAAAGGAGCACATATAGTATGAGGAATACAAATACAAATATGACTTATATGAACACAGGGCCAAATCAGGATATCTGTGACAATATTCACTTTTTAGATAATTGGTTCACCTGTTACAGCTTTAAGAGTGTAAGAGGAGGCCGTTTGCAGACATTTTGTTGAAAGAAGAAACTCCCTCTGGAGGGAACTTTGGGATTGTAGCCTCTGCAGACCAATAACATGCACTAAAACCTATATAACACACTACAGGAAATGGAAAAACCCCAACAAAAACATAATAGTGTAACTTTTAATATGGGCACACGGTATTGACTCCTAGGTTCTAAAAACTAAAAAGTCCAGAATTAGAAACACGGTAATTAACATGTTAAACCCCGAGCCTGTTTTTCAGGTTTCAGGCTCGAAAATGACATTCCCAGAACAAATGACCATATCTTCCCTTCTAAAAGGGTTAAATTAATAACCTTTTTTCTCAAAGTAATGATAAACCTGTGAGTTGGATGTAGAAAAGTCAGATTCAATATAGATGTTTTTTATTTTAAAGAAAATTCAGATTGAACATGGTAAAAAACTGTAAATTATAGTGTCCGTCCAAAAAATATTTTGTACTTATAGTGAAAACTAACCTTGGATGATGGGTTAGTAGACTAAAAGCTTTAGGAATCCAAAGTACAACATATAATAAGTACCCTGTATCAAGATTGATGCAAAACAAGTGATATTTGACCTTTTTAGACAGATTTAGCAAAAAAAACCCTCTTCTGGGGCCATTTGGGTGGATTTTCCATATCTCTGGCCCCCCTTGCTCGATTTTGACATGTGACATCTCTTTCTGACAGTCAGAGCCAATGGAATCGAGGGGAACTCCCACATAGTCCTTATTTGGTCATGTGTATGTGTGAGACTGCTGCATTGCCGAGACCGGAAGCAGCAGCTAGCTGTGGTGGCTACCATTAGCAGCTAGCATTTACTCTCCGATTTTTACATTAAAATGGAATTATGGATTATAAATTCAATCAGTTTTTTATACATGGACGTTAAGAACCTATGGATTAACAGATTCAGCCGCGTTTTTTCTCATTTTAATGCCATTGAACACGTACTTTGATCAGATTGACGGCTACTTGTGAGACGATCTCCCTAGAAGCTTCGTAAAGGTACGTGTTGTGATGACTGTATTTGCTTCCCCTGTCGCGAGTCCGGATCACTCAGTGATGATACTATATACCTACATAATCTATGGAGTCTCAGCTTTAATCGGATATATTGTATGTGCAGCTATGATAAGTAATAAGGGTACTTTTATCTTGAGTTCTGTGCCAATGTCCGTTAGCATTTTTCGCTCAGGGGTAATTTAGATGCTTCTTGTGAGACTTGTGTTTTGTTTTGGTAAACATGGTTTGTATCGGCAGTTAGCTGAGATTATTTCCGTTAATCTGGTATAACACATTAATAGGTTCTTAAATATTAAGATCCCCTGAGACACAGTATCGTGAAAAAAAAGACCCAGGGTCCCCGCCGGCGGGGACCTTCGGGCTTAACAGGTTAAGAGCCGAAACAACTGTGTAGATATAACGTGAAACAAAAAGCAAAGGGAATAACTTTGCTTAACCTGTACATTATTGTCCAGATCAGCCATCCCTACAGTGTTACTGTTTCAGTTAGACAGGTCTACATGTTGTTGTCACTAGGCAGGTCTGTTCTAACGGATGTCAACCTCTCAGTACCCTCTGAGTGTCTGACAGTTGTTCTGCTACAGTAACCACCAGTACTTTCAGTTTCATTTGTTTTGCAAACTTACTCACTTCCTCATAATATTGCATGTCGACAATGTGTTCATGATACTAGGCTGCATTCTTTAACTTGATCATATTCTGTCATTTGAAGACTCCACATTTTCACAAGCAGAGAATTCCCAAAAGGCTGTGTCATGGCGCTCTGATAGTTTCGCTCATTTTGAAACTGAAAGACTGAAACTTCATGATGTCCCAGTTCATATCAGATAACAGGAAAATAAGTGTTCCTTACAGGCGTGCTCTGGACGCCCAGCGGCGTGGAGTTCTCTGAGGACGTGGACAGCTGCCGGATGAGGGGGCTGTGGAGGGACGAGTGCATGGTGGCCAGGGTCGGGCAGGGGCTGCTCGAGTCCAGGAAGAGTTTAGGGGAGGCTGCGGGACAGAGAGAGAGAGAGAGAGAGAGACAGAGAGAGAGAGAGAGAGAGAGAGAGAGGTTAGATCAGTGCTCAGTGTCCTTAAGCAACTACAATTCCCTGTAATAAGATAACATCAATATCACATTCAAAGAGAGAAGATTAGGGCTGTACCGAAAACATTTTTTGTAACGCTAATGTGTAGATTAATTCTTAATGGCACATCTTTCCATCGTGTACAAAGCCGGTAATTATACACAGTTGTAGTTCACGTTTAAGCTAGACTGATATTATTAGAATGAACAATTTAAAGAATTAAATTCCGAATCGAAATGCCAAAAGATGGTTGGAATCACTTCAAAATTATTAACAAAATAAAATATTCAGCTTCAAGCTGCATTTGTTGGCGTTCAGCCTGTCATTCATTTGTGCTATGTATGCCCTCCTGATGGTTATTTAACCACAATAGCAACAATATAATTTGGCTCTAAACATATTATGGTGAATTATTGTTTAGGGCTGTGGCTCAGTGGGATAGTGCGCTGATCATCAGATCAGGGGAGCCGGACCCCCGCTGCAGACAACATGCCGTTGTGTCCTTGGGCAAGGCACTTCACCCTATGTGTAATATGTAATGTAAAGCGCTTTGAGCACTTGTAAAAGTCTCATTATGTAACTGCATTTCTATTTGGGAAAGGTCATTGATGTACTTATTAATGACCCGGTGAGTCATATTCATTAAAGAAAGTTACAAAAAAGACAAATTCATTTAATTCGATGTATCACTTTGTTAAAATTAAGGACTCAACTTTTGAATTTGGTTTAGGGTTTAAACCTGATCAAATATGACGTCAGAGAGTAGAGCTTCATACGAACCCTGAATAGAAGCTTAGGATGTAAAAAAGTCATTTGGTACAGCCCTACTTCAATTGATTAGTGCCACTGATATAATAGTGTTAGACAGTTCATCTGTTAGAGACTCACTGTCGGTCCGGTCCAGAGAGTGCTCTCTTAATCTCTTCCGGCTGTAGTTCTTGTCGTAGGGCACCAAGTGTGGGCTGGAGAGGCCCTGCAGACGCTCCGCCTTGTACACCTGTGAGCTGCTGCCCCCCCCACTGCTGTCCACCGGCCTCAGCTTCTCAGCACGGTTCTTATAGTGGCCGAGTCCTGCAACACCAGCAGACAGCACACACCATCGTTAGACAGAGCAGACCTGAGACCCCAGATTAATGAGATACTACAAAAGAAAATGCAAATAAAGCTACAGCAGACCTGTAACAACATAGGTTGCTACTACTGGAGCTGGGCTAAAAAAGCAGCAGCCAATCACATAGCTGCCTCTGCCATGTGGTATTGTGAAATTGTTACTGGGAATAAAACAGCTGGAATAAAAGATAAACAAGCTGCAATTGACTGTTATTGTGGAAGAAAGAACATTTCATCATAATGATTCGAGTTTGGAGAATTTCTATTTTATGGCGATAGATATTTTCTACTTAACTGATTTTTTAAATCATTTATTTTAATACAACACTTTATTTAAATAAAACATGTCTGGCTCTTAAAGCAAGTACATGTTAGATGTTAGGGGTTTTTAAAGGATCCCTAAAGTTCTTATTGTGGTTAAATATGTGTCGGTTTCTTTAAGAAATAAAAAATCCTGTTATTATTTTATCATTAAATCTTAAACAATTCTGGCTCTTATATTTAGGTCGTTTAATTTCAAAAGGGATATGAGAGAACCTTAGGCCTCTTCATTATTTGTACTTACTGACTGCCATGAGTGAGTTGGTGAACTTGTGCTTCTCTTTGGACGAGGACAGCTTGTGTTTGAGGGAGAGCTTCTTCAGTGGTTTGCTCCTCTCCAGCGACTTGGTCTGCCACTGGCTCTTCATCACCTGCTGCAGACGTAGGCCTATACACACGTCTGAGGGACAGGTAAACAGAAGAGATTTAAGTATACACTGAGTTTTCAGTGGATTAGCAGTTCACAAAAGGCGTGCAACATTTATATTTTAACCACAGGCATGAGCTAATGCCAAATACACTATTGTGTGATGGTTGCAAATCAACTTTGTCTCAATTATTTATCAACAAAGCAAATTCCTTAATAATGACATGGACGCTTTGATTTGTATAAATTCAGATTGATGTAGGGAAGACGAGTTTCTTCTGGTAGTTAAGATCCAGTTCTGAGAATACAACAATTATACGGGGGCATATGGCATTTTTTAGGAAATGTAGTCTTTTCTAGGCACTTCCTGAGGAGAAGTCTCTCTACGGCCACTCCTTGTTTGTCTTCCCCTCGAGATGTAAAGAAGGAAATGACAGCGTAAACTCTTTCGAGGCGAGGAGCCCGGCACTGACCGTCAGGGAAGGAGAGGATGGGGTGGACGCCAAGATCCAGTCTCGACAGGCGCTCCAGGGTGGGCTGCTCGTACTGAGGGTCCTCTCTGGGGGTGGGCCAGCCACCACACATCGCACAGCTGCTGGGGTTCACCCTGCAGCTACACTGGACACAGCTGCTTTTCTGCGCCTGGAAACCATGTCGCAAACCATGTCACGCTCAACTGTAAACACTCATGATTCAACTTTAGGTACGACGAGTAGGATTTGAGATTTACAGTTTGTGTCGCACTTATTGTAAGCTAAATGCAATGTAATGTAATACACAACACTGAAAGCTGGCAATGGTCTATGCCAGGGGTGGGGAACCTTTTTCCTCTAAAGGGCCATTTCAATTTTTTCAACATCCTCCGAGGGCCGTACAAATTATTGACCTCTGCTTAAAAATACTAAAATCACAGCCCATTAATTTCTTCTTTCTTTCATGCTGTGCAAAGAAAAAGCAACCTCTTAATCCAGATATCTTACCATGACTCGCGCATGCATGCACGTGCACGGTTGTGGCATGACCACCCAAACAGAAAGATATGGACACAAGATGTGTGCAAATGTATTTAGTTTCCTATCCATGTGGACATGATTTAAGTGGAGGGGGACCTAACCTAACTAAATGTTGAAGTTAAAAGCATCAATCTGGTGCACTTTGAGAGCAACATTAAGAGATCTATGGATACAGCTCCACACCCAGATGAAATAGAACTGCAAGCAGATTTCTTTTTCTTTATGGATATTTTACAAATCACTCCCCTTTTAAACTGTATTATTTTTATTTTACTGTCATATAGCATTTTATATAGTAGTTTACTTTATTCTCTTATTTTTTGATAACTATAATGATCATATAAAGATGTGCCTTTACCTCACTGGTTGTAGAAAAAGCTTCTTATATTCGTTAGCATAGCTAGCTAACCAGATGCTAATAACAACATTGACTGTATGATCAGTATGACAGATGAACAGATCACCACTGGGCTTTCAACTAAAGACACAGACACGCAGAAACTGCAGCATGTGTACGGCTCCTTATGGGTTCTGACATTTTTGAAGTGCCGGAGCGACGTTCTGGTGCTCTCCGTCAGAACTGCACCCCTGTCAGACGAGACATATACCACGTGATGACACGTTAGGCTCGTGTTGTGTTCAAGGACCCTGGCCTTGGCCAGGAAAAACAGGCACTCGCTTGTTTCATTCTTTTACGGTCTAGATTTCTTACATTTTTTTCTTTTTTGCGTGATTTTATAAATTACCTCGAGGGCCGTACCAAATGGTCTCGCGGGCCGTATACGGCCCGGGGGCCGGAGGTTCCCCACCCCTGGTCTATGCAGATACACACATCGATACACACTTCTGTTCGGTCATAAGTGATGGTTGAGAGATTATATGTATTGTAAGGAAATCCTACTCATTGTACCTTAAACACATCTTTTTAAGTACTTATTTTTCAGTGAGATACGTATTTAAGTATTCTTTCATAAATAGTCACTCCAAGCTCTGGAGTGCACAATTTGGACCGTTCCTAAACTAGGAGCACTGTTGGAATATACAGTTTGGATATGAAGAGCAGCAAAATGACTTTTTAATAAAACATGTAGCTGGCTGACTAGCTTACATTTTTCTAAATCCTAAAAGAAGTAGGGATTTGGTTGTAGTCTACGAGCTGTAGGGTCTCATCATAGTTGTCTCTTACATCATCGTCCTCAATGATAAGCAAGGCACCACATTTTTTGTAATATACATCTAAGTAGGAGTTATGCTTTTAAACTAACTTGTTCAATAGTCAATTTAGAAATAGGACACTCGAACAACAACACTCTTTTTGGTATTTAGAGGGCAAATTGAATAAACAAACGCATCCAAAAATATAAAACACTACAGGAGCCATTAGCGTCATGGTGACAGTAGTTGTATTTACAAGAAATGGTTCTAATTTGAGTTTTCTACTTGGTACTAACACGCAGACTAGTTTAAGATGTCCTGTCCTAGAACTATGAATGACTATAACTGGAACAATGTGATTGCACTTCTTACTGCAGCAATGGAAGATGTAAGCAATCAGCACACACAAGACATTTGTACATTAACACATTTCCTGACTTAATGTCCCACAGAACCCCAGGACACCTTTTTGTTCCGGGGAAAACTATGAACAATCGGCCCATGTTTCTTTTTTCATCATCTAAAACTTGTGAGTCGTCACAAGGGTTATTTCCCTTCTTTGTTGTTTGGCCTAGTTTTTTCACAAGTCAGCCAGCCGGCTCTAGTTTACGCAGCTATTGGGTTACAAACCAAGGAACTAATCAGTGAGTGCATAACGCACGAGAATAAAAGCCCACTTCATTCCTCTCAGAAAACTAAATATTTAACGTCTTCCCTTCAATTTTAGTAACAATCCTATTTATAAAAACACATCTCCTCAGTTTCTTTAGGGTGAAAGCATTGCGCAATCTAAGGGCGAGGAACTTGCTTCAAGCACTGAATCTATCCCAATGTTACGCAGGCCTTTAGGCACAATTGATCTGAAAATGTTCAAAATGGCAATGTTGAAAACCCAATTGCAGTAAGCGCAATATTTGGTAAAGTAATTGAAAATACCATTTTGAATGAGGTATTAAGTCTCGAGCCTAGAATCTCCTTGTTTGGTAAATATTCTCTTAATCACATCATGATGTTTTTCAATGATTAAGTGAGTCATGGTTCCAAAATGAATTCCCTCTGATATTGCAAATCACGTCACGATTGCAATACGAGTCGAATGAATCCCATTTAGTAATCCTTGTATGTAAGCATGTACAAACAGACGGTGGGCTCACCTTGCCGTTGAGGTTGGGCACCGTGTTGGGCTGAATGAGCCTCCGTCTCCGGCAGCTGACGAGCGGTCGTGTACGCGCAGCCACACACGAGCTGTCGTAGGCTGACGGCGGCTTGGTGTCCGCACTCTCTGCCATCCTGAACCAAGACAACACACGGAGGGGAATTAGGCCAAAGATCTTACACATTTGATCTGAAGTGACAACTGAGTTCATTCACACATTTGAAAAACACAAAAATGGATTTATGCTAAAGCATAAACGTTCATTAAATTGCAGACGCCAATATTTTCTTATGTTTTTGTTTATTTATAATTGTTTTGTTTGTGAAATGTAAAAAAAAATAGTATAACATTTCCAACATCTTTGTTCATTCTTTTCAACAACCAGTCAAATACATTCATTTGACTTCCATATGTGAAGAAAAGACATCAGCATCTCATCATTAGAAACTCCTAAAATCCTTAATTAGAGATTTCTCAGAAGTGTTTCTTGGAGAGCAGATTTCCTTTGAAGCAGAAAGGAGTTCAGTATTATCATCAGCTGTACCTGCTGAGGACGCCGTTAACGGGCTGCGAGCTTTGACCTTTCCACGGGCCGGCCTCTGTGTTGGGGATGTGGGCGGCGCCTGTGTGCTCCAGCCGTTCTGAACCAACATCCTGCGAGGACAGATAAGACAGAGGCAGTGAGACGACACCTCAGCAGCACAGGCAGACCAGCAGCACTTAAGCGCAGCCGGGATATTTAAGGAAACGAATGAATCATCCCAGTCATGTAGCCTTGAATGATTTATTCTGGATTTGTGAAAAGGGCTCTCACACAACTTCAAACCCTTTTCTGCACCGTCATCAACATGAACGGCCCAGAGCTACTAATTCACACTAATTCCTTCTTTCAATCAAACTTTTCCAAAACATTCCACACCTGATTGTTTCTCATTTTTCCAAATGACATATTGTTGTTAAAGCAGATGATTTGACAGTAAGCAAAAACAGACCATCCTTGAAGGTTAAAGTGAAAACAGACTATGTTTAATCAAAACAGTTGTCTACAAAGATCAGAGGCCACACCCGCAGTAGCTTAACACACATTTGAATAAACAGCATTCACATATCCAGAGAAACGGGCTCATCCTGTAATACAACATTTCTCAATTGTTTTGCTCTAAATGGCGTTAGGGTCGAAGGTGCTTATTATACAAAAGCTGCCTTTTATTTCCTGCCAGAGACAAACAAAAAGAAATCATTTCCTGTGAGCATTTCACACTTCATTTCCTGCAGGTGCTTTGATTGACCAAAACATGTTGAATGCTTTAACGATTATTATGTGTCTTTAAATAAATAAAAAACAGCCCCTTTCAACTTCTAATAAAACATCCAGTGCTTAGAATTGGAAAGTGCTGAATGAATGGTGGTTTAATTAAATACTTGCTGAGAACCTTCACAAATTGAAAACTGATTAATGTCATTTCAGTGGCAACAAGCATCATTATTACAGTTCACACTTCAATGGTTCACTTGAATTGTATTCAAACAGCATTTTGAAGAATATTTAAAAAGGTTTGTTTTTTTACTTTTGTTCCAAGAAAGATATCATTCATTGCACATTACCTTTAACAGTGTTTTCTCTATGGCGTTGCAATTTAAAAAGAGACAAGTTTGTAAGGTAGTTTGCCTGAATACTCCTAATAAACCCCACTAGATCCTGATTAAACTGTTTTCCAGGGTGTAGAACAAAACGCTTAATAATCAACAAGAGAAAATGCATATTCGAGCCAGATTTATCTTAAATGACAAGTATGCTAAGAGACTAATCATTTGGTGTAGCCCCAGAGAGAGAATATGGCTAGCACAGCGCTGTAGAGGAACACAACCTCCTGTTAAGGTTCCCCCATGACACTCACCGGAGTGTTTACAGGCTCTGTCTTCACTTCTGTCCCCCCCGCAGGTACTGCACTGGAGGAAAGTCCTCCCAGCTCCACTGAGCCCTGTAGAAGGATGTACATGTGGAGCATATTTATAGTAACAGTGTTTTTCCGCACACAAACCATTGCATATTCTATTATTTATTAGCCGCCAAAAGAGAAAGCTGTACTGACTTTGCTGGCGCGGATCTGTCTGTAGATGTCGGTCTGCTGTCGGATGCGATACTCCAGGTCTGAGATGTGGGCCTGGAGCCAGTTCCAGTGGCTGATGATGGCCGCTCTCTCCACCGTGTAGCGGCTCTCCGCCCGCTTCCATCTGAGGGACAAGAAGAGGGTGTGAGCGCTTATTATATAAAACGCAAACAGATGAGATTTTGGATTAACGTTTGCGACAAAAAGCCTATCCTCCTTAAAAACGCTGCAGAGACAAACAGATTGGTAAATTGATTGAAATGCTTAAAAACACAACAGCGGAAGAACTATCATTGTGTTATAAACGGTTGGTCTGATAAAACAAGATATTTGAAGACGTCACCTTGGATATGGGATGGACAAGTTTAGAAAAAAATAATCAAATGAATTTGTAATGACAAGAACCATTAGTTGAATTTTGGGCTGGGTGATAATTCAGTATTATAATGAATGTAATGTAATTGTGCACTTCAGTTCTCAATGAATGAAAAATACTCTTTATTTTTTGTTTGTCAAGTATTTCATTCATACTAGTATAGAAAGATTGGCTTAACCATGTGATTATCATAAAGACTACTTTATTGAATTACCAGATAGTATATTATAATGGAGATATAATGAAGATATGAATATCAGAATACAAGATTATGGCAATACTGCCCAGCCCAAGTCGCAGCCTCAAATTCAGTCATTAAAATCTATTTATTTTCCATTTCTAGGTTGTTGGTAGAGTAAGGGCATGTATGGTAAACGTCTGTTCTGTCATGAATCATCCTACAACATAATACATTGAAATATCAATGAGTCATAAATAGATCATTGAGAGCATGTTATTCAGTGAGCCTCAGAGCATTTCCCCAGTCAGACTGCAGAGGTCAGTGAATCAGCATTACACTAAGCTCCCAGCAATGGCAACTGCAGGCACCCTGGAAAATCCTCCTAATCAAAAAACAACATGACGAGGGATTCTTCAGAAGCGAGGGAGAAACATAAAAATTGGGATTTTCCTCGCCCTGAGTTGCTTAATGGCAAACCATGAGTGCCAGCTGAGAGCAGAGTACTCCATTTTACCAGTATGACACACAGAATGGGCATTTCAAAGGCAGACATGAGAGGAAAATGTCTGCTCTTGCACCGTGCGGCAGCCACCACAGAGGGCGCTGTTTCATCAAAATACAGGCTGCATTGACCATGGCTGAACAATGAAGAAAAAACAGAGTCAGATGGCAGACAAAGATAGACCTTGCACTCCTCTGCGCTTTCTCCTCTCCACACCAGTCTCTGTTTTCAATGTTCAGATCTACTACAGGATGGAGGAAGTTGGGAAAGGGCTACGGCCTAGATCGGGGGAGGAGTACAACAAGGACAGGGAAAGCTCTGGCAGCCTGGGGAGGAACAGACGGGCTTTAAAGTGCAATCTACAGGCCACAAGGTGCTGGAGGGGGTGGGGCTGGGTCAGGGAACAGTGCGGCAGACACTGGGATAACCAATAATCCAAGCAAGCATCCTGTATTATTGTGGAGCTGAGCGGAAGGAGAGTCACAATGGCTTTGACGCAGATATCAACCACCAATCAGTGCCATGAAAGACATCTTGGCTCTTGCTTTACTTATCCACAACAAGCTTGGTCACTGCAATAAGCAAGGACACTACTGCAAATACAGCTGCAGTGTTACCGGCTCATAACATTTCCTGTTGCTATTCTACACTCTCAACCCTGTTCTGCACAATAAACAAACATGCACTGGTAAATGTTCTCTAAACACTGCAACACTGTTGAACACGCCCTTTTGCTGGTGCATAAGATCAATGCTCTGGCAAGTCATTTGCATCTGGGAGTCCCCGTGGAGACTCGTCTCAAAACAACACTGGAGGTGGTGGCACTAAGAGTGTCACAGAATATACTGCACTAATTAGTATGCCGTGATTCGCCAGGATGTGGGGGTGGACAGCTGATCTACCAAAAGGCCAGGTGAGATGTGGCCCTAAGGGGGACATGAAGGATGATCTTGAGAAGATTCATGCTCTATGACATTCCAGCATTAGCATTTTCTTGTTATATTTAGACCACACATTTTGATAACAGCTGCTTTTAACTATTCGGATTAAGATTAAAAATACTAAATACAGTCAACAAATAAATAATGATATTCTATGAATAAAGCTTTACTGGTCCTGAGCTGGAAATTCACCTGCAACCCAGCTGTTTGTAAAGTAATATAAAGAAAATAAATACATTAAGATTAGTAGACTGGCCACACATTCAAAGCTGACTCTATATACCAAGTGAATTCATTCAAAGGAATAAAGAATAGAAAATAATGAAATCAGTTCTTAGGGTCCAATAGACAAGAGCTGGGCCCCACTCGTGTGGATAATCATGAAAAGGAAGCAGGAAGAGCTAAAACTGTACTTTAGTCAAACATAAACACACAGGGGCCATTACAAGAGCAATGACCTTAATCGTTAGTGTGACGAAGGAGGATGGGTCGGTATGCAGCGTGGAGAAATCCCCCCCTCTACACGAGAAGCTCCATCCCCCCTTCTCCCCAGGACATATTTTCCTCCCCCTCTACTCCCAAACACAAAAGCACCGGCGGCAATCTGTACAGCCGTTGTTTTGTGTCTGTCAGCACATTCTCCTTTGTGGTGTTTCTCCGGATGCAGCACGTATGTTGCGTGGTGCACCCCTGTGCCATAACGTCCCTACCATAACCAACACCATGCTCAAACACGTGGCGCACAAAAGGCCGGAGAGCGGGGGTCACTGAGGCAGCAGACTCATTTACACCTGATGCACCTTTCCAGTGGAAAAGTACCATCACTGGGGAAGACACATGCGGTTCCTTCAGGCTAAGGGAAGCCATTTCAAAGACCTTTTGATATTGTGCAAGAAGTGATGAACACAGAAACTATTTCTATCGCCGTTTATGTCAACCATTGTAACACTTTTCTCTCCTCTACTTCATTGTGTGCCTTTGTTAATACTGGAGGGGGGGGTTGCACTTCCTCTCCATATGGTTACACAAGTGGCTGGTGGAAGGAGATTCACTTTCTATTTGCTTGATGCTTGTATTATGCTGTACACCTAATATGGTCTCTATCTTTTATCTCATCACTTCATCACTTAACACTATGAGCACACAGTGGGGTGAAAACATGCAGTCTTTTGTATGAAAGATGTATAACTTGGAAACAAGGGCTCTGAGCTTATGGTAGATGGACTACAGTTATATAGCACAATTCAATCTTTACACATTCTGTCTCTTTCACCCGATCACACACACACATTTACACTCCAATGGAGGCAATGCAGCCATGCAAGGCGCTGGCCGGCACATCAGAGCAACTTGGGGTTCAGTGTCTTGCTCAAACATAATTTAACATGGAATCAAAGTGAAAGTCCTATGATTAAAGGACCTACCTATCTCTGCCTCGTGACCAACGGCCACCCCCTTTTTGCTGCTCTATTTTAACAGCTTTATCACAATGTACTGCCTCCACAGATATCACACTACAGGGTAGGGTTGGGTATCGTTTGGATTTTAACGATTCCGGTTCTGCTTTTCGGTTCTCGGTTCCGGTTCTTTGAGAGGGTAAAAATAAGTCCCATGCCAATTTCACTGGGAGAAAAATATATTTATGAAAACATTAAGTCATATCTGTATTCCTATTTACAAATCACTTCATTCATACTGTTTAATTTTGTTGGGGTTATTGAATACAATTGTATTAAAAATAATCTCTGCATTGTTTAGTTAGTTCTAAGTGGTGCAGTTTGAGAATGTACAGAGTCTCCTCTGATGTTACACTGCAACCTGCCTGTGAGACAGTCCAACCACACATGTCCTGCAACACACATGCTGCAGCTGCTCACTGTTTGTAAAAGTAAATAAATAGTATTTTCATTTCAATAATGTACTTTCTATACCCTGCTTCATAAACAATACTGACATCCCTGTGCTCCTTCGAGTCTGGGGGTCCGGGGATGTGAGGACAGCGCGAGGACACAGACAGGGAGGCTGCTTCACTTCATAAAGGAAATGATGGTCAATATTAACATAGGAGCTAAAACGCTTAATAACCTTCATTACGTGTTCGAGAAAGAACATAAGAAAGTTTGACAAAGGTGAGGCTGTTAAACGGGCAGCGGATCTGCTGTGTGTAGAAAGAGAGAGAGAGACGCTGAGCTGCACCGTGCAGCGATCAGCTGATACGGAGCAGAGAGAGAGCTGCGGTCCTCCTGTCCTCACAACTCTTAGAAATCCGGGTAACGGACAATTGTTATTTGTTCTTACTCTGAACCGAGTTTTGCTCCCAACCCGGCCACGGAACCGGATTTCGGGACCCAACCCTACTGCAGGGGTCACATCTCCCAAAGCATGCAGCATCATCATCATTCAAAAAATAAGATTGTTCTGTTTTAGTGATGTCATATCAATCTACAAGTATATGAGATTAACGCATACACACGCAGTACATATAAAGCATAGACCACAATAAATAACAGTGACCCATTTTTCTCAATGGAGATTGTTAAGAGTGTGTTATTAATGTCATTCTGAACGGCATTTATATTGATGTTAGGCAGAATATAGGTTAGGAAATGAGTGCTCATCTGTAAATTATTATCCACAATTGAACTAAAAAGGTTCTCAATGTATGGGGCCAGTTCCTGCATCCGGCTTTTATCTTAAAACAGAAACAGGAAGTGTTTTTTTCATGCCTGTGACATATTCTACAGACACAGACCTATCAGACCGGGTCATGTTACTAGTATGATGTCTATAAACTATAAACAGATTTTTACTGTTGGCTTTTACTTGTGTTGTGACCCAAGCACAACACGCTGGAAGAAATAGGGAAGACCACAAATCTAAAAAGAACACAGCGGGAACAAATCAATGCTGTGTGGCTACTCCAACCTGTTAACATCGGCACCGTCATATAAAAGCAAAAGGATTCCACAACTCAGACACGCAGGCTAGCAATTCTGTAGGTAAGGGCGATTACCACACCAGTCTGGTTCAGGAAATACAATTACTGCTTGACTTAATAATACTGATAAAATGTCTATTCTCATATCACAATATTGGCAGGCCTCGACAGTAACGGTTGCCATTG